GCATAGCTCACTTGTAGAAAGAGGTGGTTTCCCCAATCCTGAGTCTTGCCAGATGCCACATTGCTGGAGAAGGCCTCCACACTACCTGGGGAGCCTCTTGGATCAACTGAGTGAACAGAAATGGGAGTTCATAGAGTTAATGAATGGAATCACCACTATTATATGTGCTGGAATTCAGTGGAATGTGGTGGCTTTCCATCTCTTAACCAGGATGTCCCTGAAAAAGGATGGAACCCAAGGATCAGAAAAGTTGGCTAAACTTTGAAAGTCACTTTAGCATTAGATGCCCTCATCAAGAATTGGTTCCATCTGTCCGCTGTTACATATTCTTGGGCCATGGCCAATGAGTTCCTTCCTTTAGGGTAAAAAACTCTGGAAATCTTGTTTCTCACTAATACTGAAAATATAAATTAAGGTAATAGACACCTGTATACATACTAAGGTCACAATACAGGCCCTCACCAGGATATTCCTTATCCCCTTTGGAGTTGGAGACATTAATGATGGTGAGAAAGGTGCATCTCATGTCTCAGAATATGTAACCCTGGGTTCTTGAAGAAAGCATTCAGTGGAGCTTCCACCTTGCATATATATCGGTAGCAGTCACATTAATTTAAGAGGCCTATTGGGCAATCCAAAGAGCTCTTATTAAAGTTACAAAGTGGCCAATAGATGTCCTGGTGGGTGTCACTGCTGCCATATGCATGCATTAATTAAAGTAAATTCACCACCCCTGGGAACACGCACTCCCCATCCCAGTGACACAGGGGTCCCTTAGTTGTTTTTATTGGTCACAACGGGGGCACCTCTAAATTTTATGTTCTTAATTTCCATGTCACTATTTGATCTGGTCTCTCCCAATTGAGTAGCTGCTTTGCTTCCTAGGAAGCCCTTCTGCTCCCAGAAAGCCTCAGACATGATCAGATTTTAAGTGGATGGAAAGGCGTTGTATCAAAAGGCCAAAAATTTCATGTGCTTGCTCCATGTGAAAGCTGAGGCTCATTTGCACCTCCCGGGACCCCAAAGACCTAACCGGTAGTTGTGGCCTCTCACCAGATATACTCTGCCACCCACCTAGCTCTTTCTCTTTCAGCCCTCTCAGTTGCACTTAACTTTTGGATTTCACTGTCTTTGTCAGCCAGCACAATTATTCCATCAAACAATCACACCCTCCTGTGGGATACAGGGAGCTCCCCCAACCTCTGGTAATTTCAGAGCCTGCCTCCCATAGTCCCTCCTTTTTCACTTTGCTCCTGAGTCCCATCCCCGTGTGGCACTGTATGCTGCACAGTTTCCTCCTCCCTGGGCTGGGAGGACGTGTGACTAATAAGCTGTCAATCTCATCAGTCCAGGGTCAAGTGCCATGGGTGTGGCCATCCCTTAACCATAGGGTGGGAATCACTTCCTCACCAATGGAGAGAAGAGAAGGTGAATCAACTAGTTGGAGTGTTCTAAGAAGAGAAGAAATATTGATAAGAAAGTTTAAACTAGAAGCAATGAGCATACATTGAAGTGTTTTGTAATGGGGTCTTGGTGTATGCAGTTTTACATGCTAGAAAAATGCAGCAGAGTAGAAAATGAATTGGAGAGACAGACTGGAGATTGGAGGGAGTCAGAAAGTGAAGCGGTTGTTTCAACAATCCAGAGGAGAAATGATGAAGCTTACTCTAGCCTTTAGAAACACAGAAGAGACAAGAGATTCAGGATTCTGTAAATGGAATTTACTGGGATTTGAGGGAGGTGGGGATGCAACAGTGGCTCCCAGACTTCTTGAGCAACAGTTATGTGATGAATCCACTGATCCTAGCAGAGAAGGTGGGAAGAGAAATCGATTTGAAGGAGGAGACTGTAACTGAAATCAATGGAGAAGAGGCTCTTTGGAAGAGAGGAACTGGTTAAAAAAACCACCTTTCTAATGCCTAAAAGGGGAGAGTAAATCAAACACGGACTACACAAGTGTGGCTTGGATTTGTCAATTAGTGGATCCTCATTGGATCTCTTTGACGGAGCATTTCCAGATCAGACTTAGGCTGATGGGCCTGAGATGTTTGAAGGGAGGTGAAAAAGTGTAGACAGTGAGTGAAAACCACTACAGGGCACCATGCTGAAAAGAGAAGGGTTGAAATAGAGCATGACATTGTTTTTGTTATTATTTTACAACCGAAGTGACTTGAACCTATTAGCGGAATGAACACTATGTTTTAGTTGACAAAGACATGTTAAAATATACAACAAACTGAAGAATGACAAGCTAGGTTGCTTGAGGAGAGCTCCTACACCAGATCTAGAAGGCTAGTTAGTTTGTGTATGAGTGGCGTGCTGTGTATTCTGCTTAAAATCTGTGTAAGACTGGAATATGGAGTTATCAGAAAGCTGGAGAGAATTCCCCTTGAAAAAAAAAGATGTTTATCATTATTATTATTATTATTTGGTTCACATCTACATTAAGCACACAGATGCTCTATTATTTAAAAAACGTGAGGAGAATGGTAAAGTGCCGAGTTGTAACTGTCATTGCCAAACGTGCAGAAGCCTGTGGGGAACAGAAAAAAAGGTATCAGCTGTGTTGTGAAACAGTGCATTTGATGAGACCGAAACTGGGTCATTACCCTTGGTGGCCAGGTATCAAAAAGAAAAGAAAATTTAAATGAATCAGGATTAACAAACTATATGCAAGTGTAGAGAAAAGTCAGTAGGTTCAGGCAGTTGAACCTGTTGATCAGAGGAGAGTGAAGTGTTGACTCATGGAGTTCACCCTGATAAGATTTGGGGGTCCTCAGTGGTTAAAGTGCAGGGCATAAAGGGAGGGGTCTGAAAAGTAAAAATAAAGTATGTGATCATCAAGCTTCAGAACAAAGTCCAGGGTGTGGTCATGGGAGTAGGCTGTTGCAGTGCAAAAGAAAAAACAAAGTCTCTGTGTGTTTACATAATTTGGGGTGGAAAATGGAATACTGTTGCTCAATAGTATCACTTGCTGTGATAATTGACATGATATTAGCATATTGCTTACCACATAGTAGCCTTCTGAATTAATTTTACCTCTTATTATAACACAATCCATTATTTCTGCTGTTGGCAAATACGTTATTCATTTCCCACAATATAGTTTCAATACTGCGCTAGTTTTCTATGGCTGCTGTAACAAATTACCACAAATTTAGTGGCTTTAAGAGAACAAGTTTGTTCTCTTATAGTTCTGAAGCTCAGAGGTTCAAAACCAGTTTCTCTGGGCTGAAGTCAAGGTGTTATCAGGGCTGATTTCTGGAGACTCTAGAAAAAAATGATGTTTCCTTGCCTTTGCTAGATTCTAGAGGCCACCTGACTCCTTCACCTGTGATCCCTTCCACTGTCTTCGAAGCCATCGGTGTAGTGTGCTCACCTTCTGTACTGCTGTTTCTGTCATCACATTGTCCTCTCGAACTCCTGCCTCCCTCTTATGAGGGTCCTTCTGCTGACCGTGGACTTACCTGGATAATCCTGGGTAATAGGTCATCTCCTGTTCTAAAAATTCTTAATTAATCTATTCTGTAAAATTACTTTTGCTATGGAAGTTACCATATTCACAGGTTCCAGGAATTAGGACTTTGGCCTCTTTTGGAGGGAGGAGTGCAGGGTTTTTATTCAGCTTACCGCAGGTAGGGAGATACATCAGAGATCACAGTGACGGGGACAGGAATGTTGGCTGATTTAAACCATGTGTCAAATTCTGGATTCTTTTATTTTCTTTCTTAATGTCATCACTTACAAACACATGAATGAATTTCTAACCAAATGAATAAACAAATAATTGCCTGATGGATGTGAGAAATGTCCTCCCTTCCCATATCCCCTTCTTTTAATGACTTGACTCTAATTTTTCACAAGACAATGTATCTTTCACTACTCTCTCTGTTCTGTGTTCCCAGTGAAGTGGTGCCTGGACCTTCGCTCTCTCCTTTCTTTCAGACAAAGCAGGCTGTGGCTTCTCGTCACACTGATTATCTAAATTCACTGCTGTCCTTCCTCCACACTCTCTTCTATTTCCAATATATTTGCACATTTATCGCATTGAGGAAAGTAAGCATAATAGGGCATTGAAAAGAAACATGAGTATTGAAACCCACATTGCAAGTATCAACAGGCAAAAATTAAGAGAAAATTTCATCAATTAAGGCAGAAATAAATGTGATCCTACTGCATTTTTCAATGTAGTTTTTAAAGGTGTTTCTTGGAGCATGAAAGTATCAATTACAATTTATATGGAACAGTAATCATCAGCTTCTTGTAACAGAAACTGAAAATTCATATATTGTTATATACTTTTTTTTTTTTGGCATGCAAGTAGAAGCAGCAAGATATCACATTTCATTGTGGGGTTTCAGATTCCATAGTGTCTTTTACATTTTATCTATTTCTAAATTCCAACTCTTCTTGATTTCATCTTGTTTAGATGTTACAGATTTTCCCCCCTCAGTTTACTCTATTTATGCCTGAATTCCAAAGCCCATTTTTATTGCCTCTGTTCTCTCTGTTTTAAAGTTTTTTTTTTTAAGTTTTATTTTATTTGTAACTGACTGATAATAATTGTACATTTTTTTGGGGTGCAATGTGACGTTTCAGTACATGTATACAGTGTGTGATGATCAGTCAAGTCAGGATAATTAGCCAATCCATTACCTCAAAACTTTACTATTTCTTTGTGAGGAGAACATTCAAAATTCTCTCTTGTAGCTATTTTAAAATATGCATTATTGTTAACCATACACACCCTACTGCACAATGGAATACCAGAACTGGTTCTTCTCAGCGATTGTAACTTAATGTCCTTTGACCAACGTCTCCCCATACCCCGCTTTTAAGATTCTCATTCAAGGGAGGATGCTAAGCTTTCCCCAAACCTGCCTGGCTAATTCGTGCCAAACTGAAGGAAGGACGTTAATCTTTCCCCCAAACTTGCCCGGCCTAATTGCCGAATTCGTCCTGAAGGGAAACTGAAACCTAAGCGCTGCAGAGAGAAGAAAGGAAACCGAAACTCCCGCGCTCGGCATAAAGGGCAGTCCAGGCGGGGAGCGCCAGTTCCAGCCCAGGCTCAGGCGCCCTGGAGCCTCCGCCGGGCTCCTCGCCGCCAAAGCGCAGCTCGCGGATCTTTGGCCGCCACGGGTCCGGCGTCCGCGGTGAGGAGCGGGGCTTCTCCTGGGAAGGAGCCTGGGGCGGAGCGTCTGGCGGGAGCTCCAGGTCTCCCTCCGTCTGTGGCTCTGGGGAGGAGGTGGTGGCCCGGGAGTGCTAGGAGCAGGACTGGAACCTGCGGAACCCCCTGCTGGCCCCCGGAGGCGCGGTGAGGGCGGGAAAAGGGATGTCGCCATGAACCCCACCAGAGAGATAGGATTGCCTAGGCCTCGAAGGAGTCCTCCTCTGCTAAGGTGGGCGCTGGGTCTTGGAGGCTGAGGGGAGCTAGGGGCCATCAGATCTGAGCGCAGCCACGAAAACCTGGACATTGGCATCAGCAAGTAGCGCCCTTCTTCAGTCCCTGTATGGGCAGAACCTGCATTTTGTTTTTTACGTAGAGACGGGGGTTTCTCCATGTTGGTCAGGCTGGTCTCGAACTTGCGACCTCAGGTGATCTGCCCATCTCGGCCTCCCAAAGTGCTGGGATTACAGGCGTGAGCCACCCACCGTGTTCATCCCAGCCCAGAATCTCCATTTTAATAAGATCCCTCAGGTAATTCCGAGGCACCCTTAAATTTCAGTGGCTTAAGAAAATAGAAGTGTATTTCTTACTCCAGCAATTTAAAGTAATTTATTTGAGGTCAAGGGAGAGATATTAGTTTTCTATTGTTGCATAACAAATTATCACCAACTTAGTGGCTTACAAGTTTGCTATTTTATGATTGCTGTGGATCAGAAGCCCAGGCATGGATAAACTGAGCCCTCTGCTCAGCATTCCATCGAGCTGAAATCAAGGTGTCTGTCAGACTTGTGGTCAGAGCTGTGGTTGCATCTAGAAATAATAATGGGATGCATTATTTCTAGAAATGAATCACGCCTGTGTCTACTCTTTGGTAATACAATGATGCAGTACTTAGAAGAAAAGCATTATATTTCTTGGTTCCATAAACCATTATTTTTTCATATATTGTCTTCAGATGCTATTGCTGAACTCCCTGCTGTGAAAGATGAAGAACTTACATATTTCTTTTTCTTTTAATTCATCCCTTTGTGAACTGCCAAATTGGTTAATTATATTATTATTTTTATATTGTCAAGGTTAGTCACATTTTACAGTATTTTGTGACTTTAATTCTTGTGATTTGTTTCTGTGTTGAGTCAACAGTAAAAAATAAGTGAACAGCAGTGGCAAAATTATGAGTATGTACACATTACTCAGTGTAGAAGCAATCTGTGAATTGCTAGGGTAAGACATGTAGTTCTGTATCACTAAAACTACTGTTTGAAATAGACTTTTAAAATTCGAACTACCATGGGTTCTTTTGTTTTTCCTTATAGCTTCCTTTACTTTTTCTGAATCATGAAAAGTTTCATTGTTTTTTGTCTTCATTCTTGATGTTTTTCCCCCAATTTTCTGTATTATCTCTTTAAATAAAATTATCGTTTAAGATATATAGTTGGCATTGTGGAAGACAGTGTGGCAGTTCCTCAAGGATCTAGAACCAGCAATACCATTTGACCCAGGAAACCCATTACTACAGATATACCCAAAGGTTATGAATCACACATACACACTTAGTTTGATTACAGCACTATTTACAAGAGCAAAGACTTGGAGCCAACCCAAATGCCCATCAATGATAGACTGGATAAAGAAAATGTAGCACATATATACCATGGAGCACTTTGCTGCCGTAAAAAAGAATGAGTTTATGCCCTTTGCTAAGACATGTAGTTCTATATCATTAAAAGGGACATAGATGAAGCTAGAAACCATCATTCTCAGCAAACTAACACAGGAACAGAAAACCAAATACCATGTTTTCACTCATAAGTAGGAGTTGAACAATGAGAACACACGGACACAGGGAGGGGAACATCACACACTGGGGCCTGTTGCGGGGAGGGAGACTAGGGGAAGGAGAGCATTAGGATAAATACCTAATACATGGGGGGCTTAAAACCTAAGTGACCGGTTGGTAGGTGCAGCAAACCACCGTGGCACATGCACACCTATGTAACAAACCTGCACATTCTGCACATGTATTTGAGAACTTAAAGTAAAATTTAAAAAAAGATATGGTTGGTGAAATTTATAACTTCTTAAAAGTCTAATTACATCTTTTTGCCTTTTCCATGAATTGAATCAGTATTTAGATGCAGAATTCTAGGTTCAAATTCTTTTCTCTTTAGAAATTTGAAAATGTTTTATTTTATCAAAACATCCAGGAATGTTGCTTATTTTAATTAGTTCTGTGTGCCACGTATTATTTTAATCAATTTGTATCCATCAGTTTATACATTCCAGTAGGCTTGAAAACACAATCAGAGGTGAATAATATTATTGTTCCAATTTTATAGATGAGTAAATGGAAACTTAGAGAAGGTAAATAATCTGCCTAAGCTTATGGAACTGTAGTATGTTTCAAAACCAAGATTAAAATGCAAATGGTCTGTCAACAGCGTTCATACCTTAAACCAGTTCACATATGGCTTGACTTCCATTTCTTTGTAGGTTATCTGTCTTTCTCTTTTGCTTGGAGCTCTGAATTTTAACAAGCTGTGCCTAGGTGTAGTTTTCTCTTTTGTCATTATTTCTACTCAGTAGTTGGAAAACATTTCAACCTAAATATATTATGTTGTTCTTTAGTTCCGGTCAAATATTATTATATTACTTTAAATATATACCTTTGATCATTTTTATCCCCACTCATTTTGGAATCTCAGTTATGTCCTATTAGAATTACTAGTAGGTGGAGAGAGAGCAAATTCACTTATCTTCATATTTTTTAGAATTTTTAGAAATCTTTCATCTCTTTATCTTTTACTTCTATCCTTTATGAAATTGCCAGACTTTACCCCCCCGATCCCTAACTTAAAATTCCACCGTGCTTATTTTGTTTTCTGCACATGACTTTCTTCTTTGTAAAATTATGTTTTAAATTTGTATGAACACTTGCATGCTTTCACGTTCTCTAGCAGCCTGTTGCGATTTTACGAGAAATATTTTTAATTATTTGCAAGCAGTAATTAGAAAATTCTGAAGGTCTATTTGGTCTCTGAATCATGCTTATTCATCTGGTTTCTTATTTCTGCTTTTTTTTTGTGCCTCAAATGTCTACTGATACTAATTCGTGTATGTGTTTGTGTGTAAGTCTTCAATCATCAGTTGTTACAGGGGCTGGATCTCTACCATGTCTCTCCATTAAGTGACAGAGAAGACATGGAGATAATGACAGTGAATTCTGCTTAAGTGTTAGGGCGTGCGTACGTTGGTGCAGAGGTTAATAGGGTAGCTCTAGCATATGATTTGTAAGAGGAAAGCCTAGGGTAGGTAAGCCTAGTCTATATAGGGTATGTAAGAGGAAAGCCTATTAGGCTTTACATATCCTGTCTTACATACCCTGTCCTATGCTATGTAGAGAAACCTGTAGGATCTCAAACTTGCCATAGGCAGGATATAGAATTCCTTGATTGTCAAATTAAGGAGGGATTACCTACTAAGGCTGTTTTATTTTGCCACCATAGCTATTGTTGAAAAGTTTCACAGTGTTTAACAGGCACCCACATCTCATTCGCAGTTATAATTATTTAATTTTAAAACCTGTATTATCCCTTTTAATGTATATATATTATTTCTTAAAATAATTTCTAAATTGTCAGGACACAAAGAGTTATTAATTTGTTTGTAGCTAACGACTTAATGAATGAAACAGTTAGGTATTGATTTTGTCCTAGGAGTGGCATAAAGAAATTCCTGAGACTCTAAGAGCATTGTGAACACCTGGGAACCTGTAAATTAACTTATTTTATCTATGCTATCCTTTCTGAAGTTTTCTGTAATATACTTGGGGTCAATTCTCTCTTGCATGTTCAGTTCTCACTGGCCCATTCTTTCCATTTGTGATTGGTGCAGTTTGCAGAGTTGAAGAAAGATAGTATGGTGACTGAGAGTGTTTATGAAAATACCTAACCACCTTACCTGGGCACAGGACCCTTTATAGTCTGATTCTTGCTTACCTTTCCAGTGTCATCTCCAATGAGTCACCCTGTCCTATGCCATGTAGAACAGCCCATAGCATCTCAAACTGCAGTTTCACCACTTTATGCATTAAAACAATGCTGATTTTGCTACCCGAAAAGTAATTCTCTATATTTCTCACTTTTCCTGACATGCTTTCATAAGTCTGCGTCTTTTCAACCTGTCCTTGAAACCTCAGAACACAGGGCCCTGATTTCTTCATTCTGATTTAGGAACTCCCTCTCAATGCTCTGATGGCTTCCTGTGCCATTTCTTTTAGAACACAGCAAATTAGACTATACTGTGTGACTTCGTTATCTTTAAACCTACACCATGTCACACGAGGAGAGAATCATGCTTCATGCATGTTTGCATATGTTTCAGCAAGTGGAATGTTTGGTAAAGTGTAGATACTCTATAATCTTTGAAATAAAACAGTAACGGGGTGAGTGAGAGAGACCATCTTTATGCTCCTGTCCGCATTAAGTGTCCCTGAACATCCCAGCCCACAGTAGTTCCATTTTACTTTAAACTTATTTGTCATTACAGGCATATACTTCCTTGAATTATTATTGTAATATTTAATATCAGCATATGATCACCATTGTATGTTCCTTAATATCGTGGAATACGAATCTTTCTTTCTTCTTTCTCTTTCTTTCCCTCCATTTTCTTTCTCTTTCTTTCTTCTTTGTTTCTGTCCCTTTCTTTCCATCCCTTCCTTCCTCTCTCTTTCTTTCTTCCTTATCTATTGATCTATCTTTATATTTATCTATGACCTATCAATAAATCATATATGTATCTACCTATCTGTTTATCTGTTTCACAGCCCTAACATATTGAATGGCAAATGTCTCAATATTTGGTTTCCATGATAAAATGCTCAAGTGCATTTTCATCTACCTCTTTAGTATTTTTTTCTCTATTACCTTTGCAGATTCTTCCTCCTCTCTTGCCATATGTTAAGTATTAGTATCTTCAAATGTGGATTTTTAGTACTCTTCTCCCATGATGCTGTCTCTCTCTTTCCAAGCAAGCTCATCTACACCAATGGCCTCATTTACCATTAATGCTCAGATGACTTACCTCTTGAAATCCAGCCCAAATTTGTGTTTGACCTTGAGACTTGTATATTTAACTACTTACATATCTTGACTAATGGGAAACCTTGAAAGCAAGTCAAATTCAGGTGATTCACAAATGTAGTGACACGTAGCCCTGTTCTAAGGTTCCCAGCCCAGGAATGGCCTAGTCATCCATCCTGTTACTTGAGCTAGAATCTTGTGTCTTCCTTGACAACACCCTCTCCTCTCTTCAACCACATCCAACCCAATTCCAAAGTATGTCAAACTCATCTCCTAAATGTCCTTCAAGAAGATCTACATCTTTCCAGCTCTATTATCTCAACTACCATCAAACTATATTACATCAAATTGTCATCATTACTCTCCTGCACAGTAACTTTCTCTCTGCTCTGATAAGAAGTTTGCTCCCATCCTATTTATTCTCTATATTGTAGCTGGACTAATCTTTTCAAAATGCAAAGCCAATCACAATGCCACCTGCATAAAAGCCATCAATGGCTAATTTTTGATTCCAGGACAAGAATAAAATTCTATAACATGATTTGAAGGCTCTGCATGCACTTATATCTCTCTAGTCCTTTCTAGTCTTTTCCTTAATAGTCTCTACTCTAGCCCTACCGGCTTCTTTCTGGAACGAATGCCACCCACAATCCTTCATGCCACTGAGCTTTACACATGGTATTCTGGTATTCCCTCTGCCAGAAATGCTACTTTTTAAAAAAAATCTTTTTTGCCTAATTAATTCTTGTTTATTTCTTAGAACTCAGCTCAAGCATTATTTCTTTAGGGAAACTTCCTCTTACCTCTTGACTGTGTCCTTTTTGCAGTGTTCTGCTATTTCTATAATTATCTGATTATATTTCCTCATAGATTTTAAGCTCTGCAAGAACATGTCGATTTGTTCATTCTTGAATTCGTGGTGTCTAATATTTTGCTTTACATACAGTAGTCAGTCAATACATACTTGTTACATAAAGACTCATTTTCTTTTCTTTTTTTTTTTTGTAGGACTGCCATTTTTATTAAGAACTGCTACTTACAAGTACCAAAGTACAAGATATTTGCTACCATTAATACTTGCCACAGGCAGCAGAAAGAATGGGTAATTTTCCACTTAAAATATTTATAGATTATAAAACAATGATTCTGTATAAACTACATAGATTTACTAGAATTAAAAAGCCACTTTACTGCTTTACTTTCTTGAATAATAACTAAATGATAGCTGCTATAAAAAGGACCAATTGAAAAATAATTCATTCTCTTTCTCTCCTTTTTTTTTACATTTAGAAGGACATGTATTTACACAATTTTCAAAGAAAATGTCCCAGTTAATTATGGATGAAATGCCAAAAGCTGAGTGAGTATTATCATAGTAATAAAGATGGGAAATCATCTATCATATTTCCTCTATGTCCATTTGACTTTCTACTCATATATGGACAGTTGGCCACTCAACAATGTTGGGGTTGAAGGCCCTGAACTACTATGCAGTTGAGAATCCATGTTTAACTATTTTTTATTATTGTTAATTAATTAATTTTTCTATTTTTTTCTAAGTTCATTCCAGACAGATAAAGAGATAACCTTGTAACAAGGGTTGAGTAGGGTACATCGAACACATGCCCATGAAAACCCGATCATCACATTTATGAACTACAGAAGGTCATGTTTAAATTTTTACTCCCTCCAAAACTCAACTGCAACAGCTTTCTCTCTGCTCCACCAAGGAGTTTGCACCCTTCCTATCTATTCTCTGTATTGTAGTTGGACTAGTCTTTTCAAAATGCAAAGCCCATCATAAAGCCATCTGCTTAAAATTCATCCGTGGCTAATATTTGATTCTAGGATGAAGAGAAAATTCTAAAACATGCCCTCAAAGGCTCTGCCTGCTGTCTTATTTCTTTGATCTTAGTATAGAAAATTAAGAAAATCACAAGGAAGCAAAAATGTATTTATTAAGTGGGAGTGGATCATAACAACAGTGACATCTTCACTGGCACAATCCTCCCAGACTTTCATGATGCTCTCTCTTTCAGGGTTCTCTTCCATAGATTCTTTGCATAGATTACTGTGTGTAATGAGCCTTAGTGGTTCTTATGACCCTCTAATCTAAAGGCTGAATTAAAGACATTTTGTTTGAGGGTGAGTAGACCACTTCAACATCTTTGGTGTTCAATTTATGTAGTTCTAGGTGGCCAGGGACATTGTCCAGTATCAAAAGAACTTTGAAAAGCAGTCCCTTACTGGTGAGGTACTTCGTGATTTCAGGGACAAAGTATCAGTTGAGCTAATCTAGAAAATGTGTCGTCATTGTCCAGAACTTTTCACTGTACAACTGTCGTCCAGGACTTTTTGTTGTACAACTCAAAGTCTGCCAGCTGCTGTTCATCTTACCCTTCAAGTCTCAGGAGTTAGCAGCTTTATAGATAAAGGTGGGCCTGAAGAGAAAACCAACTGCCTTTGCACAGTACAGAGTTAGCCTGTCCCTTCCTGCCTTAAATCCTGGGGCTCACTTTTCTTTCCTACTAATAAATATTCTTTGTGAGGTTTTTTTTTTTTCTGGAGTAGTACACTTTCATCTGCATTAAAAACCTATTCAAGGAGATATCCTTTCCCCTCAGTGATTTTCTTCTGCCTCTTGGTTGGCTGAAGCTGCTTTTCTCATTCTCTTCACATTTGTAAAGCCAAACGTATTACTAAAATGATCAAACCATACTGTGCAGGCATTAGATTTTCCAGCTTTAGCTCTTTCGTCTTCCTTTTGCTTCGTGGGATTTGACTTTGCTTTTTCTTGACTCATATTAGAGTCTGCCAGTTTGCTTTTTTAGACAATCCCCACCCAAATAAAAGCTCCATTTTCAATGTGAGATATTTCACAAAAAAAGCACAAGACGTTTTGTGATTGCTGCAACAATGCCTTCAGTAATTTCTTTAAAACAGTTATCTTACAGTGGTCCTTACGTTAGGTTCATTTATCTGGAAGCGGTGGGCAGCTATAGCTGAAACCATCAATCCATGACACATTGCAAGAAATCCAACTTGCTGCTTGTAATGTCATGACTGTCTCTGCTTTTAGGGAACACTTCTGGCATCACTAATGGCACTTCACATGGGTTCCATGGTTTTATTTAGGGTTTATGGTATTTCAATAAGCCTGATGAAAAACACACCAGAACCATGAGAGATCACTTTTTATTGTGATTGGAAAGCAGTTTACTGGAGAGGAACTGCTTGCTCACCACCATACAACAGGAGGTAGCTAGAAAGTTATTACAGTCATACCATATATACTGTAGTTAATTTTATGCAGTTATGATTTAATAGTGCAGCTTAACATTTGTTTACAATTTTCTCAACTCTGAAAGGTGCCATGTATAGTCTTAAGTGGGTTCATAAGGTTTAATACATTTTAAATTTTATAATAGATGAGTGTGTATTTTATGGCAGTAAATGCTAAAATAGACTACCTACATATAGTTTATGTGCTTGTGAAATAGTTAATTACTTTTCATATTTGTAGGCTATATGGTCTGAGAGTTTTTTCAAATAGTAACAAATTTTTAAAAATTTTTCTAATGTATTTATTGAAAAAGAAAATCCGCCGGGCGCGGTGGCTCAAGCCTGTAATCCCAGCACTTTGGGAGGCTGAGGTGGGTGGATCACGAGGCCAAGAGATCGAGACCACCCTGGTCAACATGGTGAAACCCCGTCTCTACTAAAAATACAAAAAATTAGCTGGGCATGGTGGCACGTGCCTGTAATCCCAGCTACTCAGGAGGCTGAGGCAGGAGAATTGCCTGAACCCAGGAGGTGGAGGTTGCGGTGAGCCGAGATTGTGCCATTGCACTCCAGCCTGGGTAACAAGGGCAAAACTCCGTCTCAAAAAAAAAAAAAAAAAAAAAAGAAAGAAAAAGAAAATCCATGTATAAGTGGAGTTGTGCAGTTCAAGCCTGTGTTGTTCAAGGATCAACAGTATATACTATATATGTATCAGCGTATATATATATCAGTATTTATATCAATGTGTATCTATGTATAATATATATAAAATATCTATCAGTATATATAGTATAGAATATTATGTAGAACAATATATTTATAACTAAGCACAGTATTATATATATGTATATATGATTGTTCAACACAGCACTTTTAGAGCTGTTTGATAGTGAGTGGAAACAGTTTCTCTTGCTACATTTGTCAGTAGCCATCAGTGAATCCACATGTAAGGGAATGAGATGGATTAAGCAGAGAATCAATATAATTTAGGTCTACATGCAGGGTACAAGTACTAGATTCCTGATCCAATCAGGCTGTGCCATATGGCCTTGGATAATTTGCTCTCTCTCCCTGAGCCTAAGATGTGAATAATCCTGCCTTCTTCCTGTGAAGGATAGTTGTGCGTGTGGATATATTTGAAAAGCCTTAGTGTACACACTGCCATCAGACAGTTAACTCAGCAAATTCAGCTATCGATGATAATAACGAGATAATAATGATGTGACTGTAATAATGATTTGGAACAGTATTTAATGCATATGTGATTTTTGTTTTAACTGTTTTTCATTTTAGATATTCCAGTTTATTCAATGACTTCGTTGAATCTGAATTTTTTTTGATTGATGGAGATTCATTACTTATCACATGTATCTGTGAGATATCATTTAAGCCTGGGCAGAACCTCCATTTCTTCTATCTGGTTGAACGATACCTCGTGGATCTTATCAGCAAAGGAGGACAATTTACTGTAGTTTTCTTCAAGGTAACATGTCAGTTGAGTTCTTTTTTATGATATGAGGTCTAAAACTAAAATTTCCTAAATTATTTTATGTATTTTTCTTATTACAAAGTAGATTATAGCTATAAAAGTTCAGAACATTTAAAGGAAAGAAGAGAAAAAATTACCCACCATCTCAGTATTCAGAAATCACTACATTTAGGATTGTGTTTTATTTGAAAGAAGAGAACTTTATTGTAAGGACACACAAGATCATGAGAGAGGATGAGAAAACTCCTCAACAGCAGCACAGTTGAACTCTGGATTCTACTTCTCCTACTCTGAAAACTACTTCTAACTTTAAAACTCAGCAGGCGGTTTATATGAATCCAGAGGAAAATATATCTGAGCCTAGGCAAAGTCATTAAGAATGCTTTGTTGGCTGGGAATAGTGGTGCATGTCTGTAATCCCAGCACTTTGGGAGGCTGAGCTGGGAGGATTACTTGAGCCCAGGAGTTCAACACTGCAGTGAGCCATGATCACACCGCTGCACTCCAGCCTGGATGACAGAGTGAGACCGAGTCATAATCATAATCAATGGCTGAATGCTTGCCGGCAATGTTTTGAACAAAGAGCTAGGCTTCCGATCTAATGTGTGTAGTCCAGTTGGCTGTCCTAATTTTGGTATACTGAGACAATCTACGTTGCTTTGGAAGGGTCGGAGTAGCCTGGAGCAATCCTCTAGAATACAGAGGTTCACCTCAGCTTCCCGATACAGATGACTTACATCCACCACTGGCTTTCTGTTCTTTTTCTTTCTGAAATGAGATTGGAGAGGAAAAGAATTAGACAGGGGAAGGGTAAGGATGACAGACTCTGAGTATTAAGTGCCTGCTTCAAGGAGACAAATGCATTGAAATCCAAACTGTGATTTTTTTTTTGGCAAATACCTATGAGATGGCAGTCAAAGTTTAAGGGTCTATTTCCCGACAAGCAGAGCACAACTGTTGGATGTGTTAACTAACTAAACGATTAAATGATGATTTTGAAATAACATGTTCTTTACCTCCTCCTCCACAGGATGCTGAGTATGCCTATTTCAACTTCCCTGAACTTCTTTCTTTGAGAACTGCTTTAATTCTTCATCTTCGGAATAATACCACTATTGATGTTCAAACGACATTTTCGGGATGCTTATCAGAAGAGTGGGAAAGTTTCCTGGAAGAGAGTTACCCGTATTTCCTGATAGTTGCAGATGAAGGCCTGAACGATGTACAAACACACCTTTTCAACTTTTTAATCATTCATTCTTGGGCAAGGAAGGTCAATGTCGTGCTTTCTTCAGGGCAAGAATCTGATGTTGTTCGACTTTATGCATACCTTCTTCCAAGCATGTACAGGCACCAGACATTTCTCCAGACGGTAATTCATATCCAAAAGACAATTTCTTCTAGAAATTTACAAAATGTTCTAAGTTACTCGAGTCAGTTTTTTTTTCTTCTCCTCTAGGAAATTACCAGAGATTTAACACATAAGTATAATAATTAATAATATTAAGTAAATAACGCAAATGCAGTCATTTATCAAACACATTGTTATAAAATTGTGCTTGGTATTTCTCACAAATAATTTTCATTTAACCTTAAAATCAATCTTATAAGGTAGGCATTAGTATTGTCTGTATTTTACAAATGATAAAGTAGATACCAGAATAAGTAATCTGCTCACCAAACGCACCAAATGAATAGTAGAACATAGATTTGAAAAGACACAGTCTGATTCAAGCCCCTCTGTCCTTAACCGCTGTGTAAGATATCGACCTCAAGTTAATGAAGGCCAGAAATGCATGGAATTAGGCAAAACTTATGCTCTTGTTGTTGAGACATATCAACAAAATGCTATGAATATTATAGCATTTGATAAGAAAACAGTGGAAAGGTCAATAAAGAAGGAAAATAACTGAATCTTATTATTAAGTAATCAATGGGAGAATTTTCAAAGTTCTTAGAGTTCTAATTCCATGATGTTATTATTTTGATACATTAGTATATTTGACAATTACTGTATTGAAATTTTGGGAGTAAATATGCATACTGATTTATTTATAAAGTACTATATTTATTTATAAAGTTATAAATAACATGATAGCTATAATGATATAACAATATATAATAGTAACAATTATAATAAATTTATTTATATAATAAATTATAAACAAATAGAATAACCTATCATAAATTAATAAAATTAGTAAAATAATATATAAATTACACAATTTGTTTATAAAATTATAAATACATCTGCAGAAATAAGTTTCTGCTTATTTTTCACTACTGATGGTGAATTCTGAATATGAAGACCATTCTTTAATTCATCAAGATCATTTTTGAGACAACATTTGTCACTCTTAGGATTTTGTCATCCCCCTCATGTATTTGGAAATTCCCACATGGCTGCCATAAAATAAGATAGTTTGTATTGCTGTAGTTAGTACAGTCATGCATCACATGGACACATTCCAAGAGATACTAGATGAATCACTAGATGATTCCACTGTTGTGCCAGCATCATCAGTGTACATACACAGACCTGGACAGCGTAGCCTTTGACACCCTGAGGCTATCTGATATAGCCTTCTGTTCCTATGCTAAACTTGTACAGCATGTTACTCTATTCAATACTGTAGGCAACTGTAGCACAGTGATAATTATTTGTGTATCTAAGCATATCTAAACATAGAAAACGTACATGTATAAAAGATTAAAAATGATACACTTGCATAGCGTACTTATCACCAATGGAGCTTGCCGGACCAGCAGTTGCTCTGGGTGAGTCAGTGAGTGAGTGGCCAGTGAATGTGAAGGCTTAGGACATTACTGTACACCGCTGTAGATATTATTAGTATATACAGTATTCACCTTGGCTACAGTAAATTTATTTTAAAAATGCTTTTTCTCATTTAATAAACCTTAGCTTACTATATATTTTTTTGTTATGTAAAGTTTAATTTTCAAAAGTTTTTCAATGGTTATACAAACACATAGTACAACTGTACAAAAATATTTACCTTCTTTCTTTTTCTTGAAACAGAGTTTTACTCTGTCGCTCAGGCTGGAGTGCAGTGATGCGATCACAGCTCACTGCAACCTCCATGGCTCAGACTCAAGTGATCCTGCTGCCTCAGCCTCCCGAATAGCTGGGATTATAGGTGCACACAGCAATGACCACTAATATTTGTATTTTTTGTAGAGACAAGGTTTTGACATGTTGCCGAGGCTAGTCTCAAACTCTGCGGCTCAAGCAATCCACCTGCCTCATCCTCCCAAAGCGCTGGGATTACAAGTGTGAACCACCGCACCTGGTCTTTTTTTCCTTATATCATTATTCTATCAGCTTTTTTTCTATTACAATATATACTTTTCACTTCTTAAGACTTTTTTTAAAAATAGGATGCAAACACACACATTAGCCTCGGCCTATGCAGGGTCAGGATCATCAACATCAACCGTCTTCCACCTCCAAATCTTGTCCCACTGGACGGTCTTCAGGGGCAGTAACACACAGGGAGCTGTCATCTCCTAGGATAACAATGCCTTCTTCTGGAGTACTTCCTGAAGGGCCTGCCTGAGGCTGTTTCGCAGATAACTGTTTTTAAAATATAATTGAAAAGAGTATACTCTAAAACAATAATAAAAAATTAGTATAGTACAGAAAATTATAAATCAGTAATAGTCATTTTTATCATGATCAAGTATGATATGCTCTCCATAATTGTATATGCTGTCATTTTAGATGCCTGGCAGGACAGTAGGTTTGTTTATGCCAGCCCCACCATCAACACTTGAGTAGTGCATTGTGCTGTGGCGTTATGATGGCGATGATATCACCAGGCAGGAGAAATTTTTCATCTCCATTATAATCATATGGGATCACCAACATATAAGTGATCCATGGCTGAGGGAAATGTTATTATGTGGCTCATGATTAGTATTAAACTATTTTCAACTCTGATTGCCTACTCTGAGCAGGAATAGCCCTGGGATTCATTTTTATATTATACTTCTGTTTATATAATAACAGAAGTACTGTTATTATCTCATTTTTCTCTGTTAGAGCAATTTCTAAATCTGAGTTTTAAGAGTACCTACACATATCCTGTCTAATCTTTCCTTAAGAATAACTTTTTTAAATGAAGGATTTCATTTCTGGTAAAATAATCTATTTCCTAATTTGTTGAATATTCACCTTAAAGAAGTTAGGTTATTAGTCAATTTGAGGATTGTGTGAAATACGATTAAAAATACAACGCATATTGAAAATGGCTGCTGCTGGGTGATAGGTACCTGTGAGGGGTTTTGTTATCTTTTATTCATGTTTGAAATTTGTCAAAATATATTGCATTAAATGGGCATGATGATGTTTTGGTGGGTGCTGGAGTGTTCTAAAATTAGATTGTGATATTGGTTCCAAAGTCTATACATTTACTAATAGCCATTGAATTGTAACAAAAATGAATGAATTTTATGTTAATTATACTTTTTTGAAGCTATTAAAAAACAAAATACACTATATTTGTAGGCAAAAATTAACTTGCAAAGACACAATAGTGATGCTCATTGGGGTTTAAAACTTACAATTAGGCCAGATGGGGTGGGCTCAGGCCTGTAATCCCAGCACTTTGGGAGGTTGAGATGGTTGGATCACCTGAAGTCAGGAGTTCGAGACCAGCTTGGCCAACATGGAGAAACCCCATCTCTACTAAAAATACAAATTAGCTGGGCCTGGTGGTAGGTGCCTGTAATCCCAGCTACTTGAGAGGCTGAGGCAAAAGAATCTCTTAAACCCAGGAGGAAGAGGTTGCAATGAGCCAAGACTGCCCCATTTCACTTCAGCCTGGGCAACAAGAACAAAACTTGTCTCAAAACAACAACAACAAACAAACAAACAAACAAACAAAAAACCACCTTACAATTACATTGGCATATATATATTTTTTACTTAGAACTGTATCATAACATAATCATATCTAAAATATCTAATTTTCTATAGTTGGAAAACTTTACCTATTTTGTTTATAACAATTTTTCTGATTTTCCTTTATTTTACAGAATAAACAGAAGACTGAAGTTGCTTATATGACCCTGCTTAACCAGTTGGAAAGATACAAGGTTTCAGCATTAGCACCTCTTTTTGGAAGTTTAGAATGGAATAATATGATGGAAGAGGTAACAAAATGTTTTAGAAAACTTTGTATTTGAACTAATTTTTCAGTTATAGAAAGGTTGCAAAAATAGTAGCGTTCTCATATACTTCTCACTCAGCTTCCCCTAATGTTAACATCTTAAATAACCATGGGACATTTATGAAAACCAGCAAATTAACATTGTGTCAATATTAAACTTTAGACCTTATTCAAATTCCTCTGACTTTTCCACTGGCATCCTTTTGCAATTTCAGGATTCAATCCAGGATACCACATCCATCTTCAGCTGTCAGAGGACACTTTTGAGTGTTCTCCAGTCTATAATAGTTTCTCAGCCTCTTTTTGTCCTTCTTGACCTTGACATTTTTGAAGACGACCAATCTTTTATTTTTTTTTTAATAACCTTCGGTTTGGTCTCGTTTGATGTTTTCTCATAACTGGAATTAGGTTCTTATACATCTTTGGCCAGAATGTCACGGAATTAATATTTTGTCCTCAGTGCTTCCTAACAATGTATCTGCGCATTGATTAGTACGTGCCTGAGGGTTTTCTCTACCATGAAGTTACTATTTGCCCTTCGTAGTTAGTAAATCTTGAAGGACGTGCTTTGTGACTGTGCAGATCCTGTTTCTTCTCAAACGTTAATGGATTAATTTTAGTGTCGGCAGTGGACCTTGTGTGCAACAATGATTATTGATGTTTTTTCCTAATGGTGATTTTTTTTTTTTTTTGAGACAGAGTTTTGCTCTTGTTACCCAGGCTGAAGTGCAATGGCGCAATCTCGGCTCACCGCAACCTCCGCCTCCTGGGCTCAGGCAATTCTCCTGCCTCAGCCTCCCGAGTAGCTGGAATTACAGGCACGCACCACCACGCCCAGCTAATTTTTTTTTTTTTTTGTATTTTTAGTAGAGACGGGGTTTCACCATGTTGACCAGAATGGTCTCGATATCTTGACCTCGTGATCCACCCGCCTCGGCCTCCCAAGTGCTGGGATTACAGGCTTGAGCCACCGCGCCCAGCCTTGGTGATTTTTTTATTTCACTCTTTCCTTCTGCATTGATTAGTTGAAACTCCACGGTAAGGGACAGTTGTCCTAGCACTGCCATTTATTGATTTATGTGAGTATGGACAAATATATTTGTTTTATATTATATATTAAAATCCAACATTATAATTATGTGGAGTTCAAATTACCTCAGATTTGAACATTAGAAGCCCCTTTAGGTTGGCGCCTGTGTTCTTTTACAAGCCCTCATCTTTCTGTACTTTATAACTTTTTGAAATCACAAGATGGTCCAGTTGCATCTTGTATTTTCCCTACCCCACCCCTGAAATAAACTACATCTCCAAAGAAGAAGGCATCTGGAAGTTCAGCTCTGAAAACTATCTTGGTGCACTGCTACTGGGGTGTCATTGCTACTAGGGCTTTTCAGCAAACGGAACTAGGATTCAAATCCTTAATAGTTCATTTTACCCCTCCCCTTCCTTTTGTTAATTTCTTTCTTCAATCCTGAGAAATCCTGCTTTCATTATCTACAATATATTCACTTATTTGCTCAGTTTTAATACACACATGAAGTTATTTTATTTTTTTATTTTGATTTGCATAGATTCAGGGAATACATGTGCAGGCTTGTTACATGTATATATTGCATAATGTTGAGGTTTGGTTCTCTACTGTACCCATCACCCTAATGGACTCAGCAGGTAACTTTTCAACCATCACTCCCCTCTGACCCAACCCCTTTTGGAGCCCCCATGTCTATTATTTCCCTCTGTATAGTAATTTTATAATTGCTAACCATACCCTGTGAGAAACAGAGTCAATGAGATTATAAGATTCATGTGCAGTCCCTTTTTAAACTGTAGCCATAGAATATGTTAATATACTGTTTCCAAAGTTATTTAGGTTAGTGATTTTCTCACTCACCTCCTTTGGTGTGATTTTGTTATCCTTTATTATTTAATACAGTTAGATTCATTGGTTAGTGTTTGTATTTCATCTTGGGTGCCTCCCACCTGTTTTCTGTTGGTTTTTAATTATGTTTATTATGAAAGGTATGTGAAAGGTATAGGAAGCATTACCGCTATATATACGACATGTATACATATAATACACACACACACACACACAAACACAAACACACACTGAAGCTTGTAGCTTCTTCTTCTTTTTTTTTTTTCTTTGAGACAGAGTCTTGCTTTGTTGCCCCGACTGGAGTGCAGTGCTGTGATCTTGGCTCACTGCAACCTCTCTCTCCTGAGTTCAAGCAATTCTTCTGCCTCAGCCTCCCAAGTAGCTGGGACTACAGGTGCCTACCACCATGACTGGCTAATTTTTGTATTTTTAGTAGAGACAAGGCTTCATCATGTTGACCAGGCTGGTCTTGAACTGCTGACCTCATTATCCACCTGCCTTGTGAGCCACTGTGCCTGACTGTAGCTTCTATTTTCTTGAGCATTTTTATCATGAATGCATGAATGTTTATTAAAAGTGTGTATATAATTATATGATTTTTCCTCCTTAGTATTGTATTAGTATTCCTCCTTTGTTAGTATTGTGTAGGGTATTAATGATCTTTCCCAGTATTGAAGCAACTCTATTCCTGGAATAAGTCTAATTAGTCATGGTGTATTACTTGTTAATATGGTGTTGGATTCTGTTTGATAACATTTTGTTTAGAAATCTTGCATCAGTATGCATGAATGATGCTTTTCTGTAATTTGGTTTCTTTCAATTGCCTTATCTGGTTAGATGTCAGTGTTATACATGCTTCATAAAAGATTAGAATGTCTTCTCTTCTTTTTCAATTTTGTGAAATATTGCATAGATCATTGGGATTATGTAATCATTGAAGATTTGATAGAAATCCCCTGTGAAGCCACATGGTCCTGGTGCTTTTTTGTGAGGCAGTTTCTTAATTTTCCGTATTTCTTCCATGGACATTGACTTCTTTGGACTTGTTAACCTGAATGGAGTCAAATTTAGTAATTTATTCTTCAGTGAAAATTATTTCACTTAAGTTTTCAAGTCTATTTACGTAGAACTTTGTGAAGTAGGCTTTTGTGATTTAATTTTTCTTCTGTTTCAATAATTACTTTCTCTTTTAATTTTATTTTGTATATTTGTGAGTTCTCTTGCTTTTCTTTGTGATGAAGTTAACGAGTGGGTTGTCTGTTTTTAAGTTTTTTAAAACCAAGAATTTTGATTTATTAATGAGATCTATTGATTTTTTGCATTTATTAATTTGTGCTTTCATCTTTTACTTTTTTGGTTTTTACTTTGTTGTTTCTTTAGATGTTTTAGGCATGCTGGGAACTTTTTCATTTTAAAAACTATTTTATTTTTATTATTAAACATATTTAGTGAAATAAACTTTCTTCTGAATTGCTGCTTTATATATATCCCATAGATTATGCTGTAAATTGTTTTTGTCATTAAACAAAATTCTGTAATTTCAGTTTGTCTTTCCTTTCACCCAAGATTGATGTATTATAAATGCTTTTAAGTTTCAGACTCAAGCACATTTGTGATTTTTAAAATTTCTTTCTTTTTTTTTCCCCACTACCTGTATTTTATTATGAAGATCTGTTTGTAATATTTCTATGTCATGGAAGTTACTAATGTTTTCTTTGTGAACTAATGTATAATTAATTTTTATGGATGTGCCGGGGTTATTAGAGACAAATGAAGATTCCCCAACACCACAATGCAGTTTGATTCATAAGGTCTACTCTGTTGATTACACTGGTTTAAGTCTTTTATTCTTTAACTTATTTTTTTGTCCAGGTGTCTCTCTTGTGTGTTAAAATGTGTTATTATAAGTGTGATTCTCTGTGCAGTTCCTTATTCTTTTGTCATTTTTGTTTCACAAAGTTGGTTGCCGTGCTATATGTTGCCTAATTTTTTTATAAGGAATAACTTTCCATCATGGATTATGGCTTTTGGAATAAAACACTGCTTTTCTTTTTCACGTGTAGTGCTTTTGAACTTGAATGCTGCTTAGCCCAATATCAAGATGCTAACATCTGCTCTCTTTTAGTTTCCATTTACCTAGCAGAATTATGCCCATTTCTTTATTTTTAGTCTTTCTGAATCACTTTGTTTTAGCTGTATGTCTTGTATATGGAATGTGATCCAAGTTGAAATTATTTTTCCCTCTAGAGGTGAGTTAAGTCTCACATTTATTGTTATGATGGATATGTTTGGTCTTGATTCTATAATATGTTACAGGTATTTTTATTCTGGCATGTTTGTTAAATTTCTTTAATGATGATCTGTGTATTCTTTGTTATTTTATTTAAACAATTTTAAAATTTGGAGTTTTACATGTTCTGTCATGGTAATTACCTTCGTGTTGTAACTTTTTTATAAAAGAATAATATTAATCCTGTTTTCTTATTTTGCCTTTCACTATTTGGTTTCTGAGGTTTTAATTTTTTTCAGTACCCTCTAGCACTCATCTGTTGCATATAGTGTTTTTTCTTGGATTATTATTTTTAAAATATTAATTTTATTATTATTAAATTATTATTATTACTATTATGTCTTGCTCTGTTGCTCAAGCTGGAATTCAGTGGTGTGATCTCAGCAACCTTCCCACCTCCCTGGTTTGAGCAATTCTTCCACCCCAGCCTCCCAAGTAGCTGGAACTACAGGCCTGCACCATCACACCTGGCTAATATATATACTTTTATTAGAAATGAGGTTTTGTCACGTTGCCCAGTCCAGTCTTGAGCTCTTGGCCTCAACCTCCCAAAGTGCTGGGATTACAGGTGTGAGCCACTGTGCTTGGCCCAATTTTGTTGTTGGTAAGATTTGTGATGATACAGATATTTTTCTTTCATTTCCACCATTTTTTAAAACATTATTTTGGTTTTTATTTTATGTCATTTGATTGTTTTCTTACCTTTCTTCATTAAATTTTATTTATATTATTCTCCTTTGGGCATCTTGTAACTTATTCTTTATTTCTGGATAGCTTTGCATTTTTCTAAGATTATTTGTCTGAATTAATTATTTATTGTCTTTCTTTCCCGTTCTGTTTCTGGTTTATCATTTGCTGAATAAAGATCATTTTTTTGTATGATTGAATGCTTGTTTGAGCATATCCATATTTAGAGTGTAGATTTAGGGATTTCTTCTGCTTTACAGTTGCTATTATTATTATTACTTTTGGAGGTAATGAGATTTTCACTCAATTTGTGTGGAATATTTTTCCTGCTAATACTTTTTGCAGTAGCTCTCTTTCCTTTCATTTTAATGATATTGAGGTTTGTTACAAGATATTTTAATTCAATTTAATCCAATCTAATTTAATTAATTTAATGTAATGTTATCTTTTTCTGCTAGCCCGGCAGAGTCCAGGCATGTTACCAGGGTTTTTGTTAGTCTGTTCATTTACTTGTTTTGGTAGTGGGTGAGTGGTTTTGAGTCCTCAAATTATCTGCTTTTCTTCTAACTGGCAGAGTCTACAAATTCTTCTTTTATCCTTTTATCACTTAATTGCCAAAGGATACTTCTTCCTTTTTTAAAAAGCTTCCTTCTTTCCCAAAGCTGTTTTCAGAAAACTGTCCCCTTGGCTAGGTATGGTGGCTCATGCCTGTAATTCCAGCACTTTGGGAGGCTAATGCAGGTGGATTATGTGATCAAGAGATTGAGACCATCTTGACCAACATGGTGAAACCCCATCTCTACTAAAAATTCAAAACTTAGCTGGGTGTGATGGTGCATGCCTGTAATTACAGCTACTCAGGAGGCTGAGGCAGGAGAATCGCTTGAACCCAGGAGTCGGAGGTAGCAGTGAGCCGAAATCATGCCACTGCACTCCAGCCTGGGAGACAGATCAAGACTCCATCTCAAAAAAAAGAAAAAAGAAGAAAAAAAAATTGTCTTCTTAAGTAGTTCCTATCTTTTAAGTAGTTTCTCTTCTTTTTTTAATTTTAAATTTAAAAAGTTATTATTTTTGATTGACACATCATGACTGTGTATATTTGTGAAGTACAATGTTTCGATATATATAAAATGTGACATGATTACATGAAGCTAATTAACATATCCATCACCTTGCTTACCTATCACTTTTTATGGTGAGATATTTGAAATGTATGTACTTCTTTTGAAATATTTAATACATTATTATTGGTTGCAGTCATCCTGCTGTACAGTAGATCTCAAAACTTTGTAGCCTTTGATTAGCAACTCTTCATTTTTCCCCTCACCCTCTGAAAAGAAGAGTTTCTCTTTTCTATGAGTTCAACTTTATTAGATTCTACATGGAAGTGAGATGGTTTGGTGTCTCTTTGTCTTGGCTTATTTCACCTAGCATAATGTCCTGCAGGTTCATCCATGTTGTTGAAAGTGACAGGATTTCTTCCCATTTTAAATGCTCAATAGTATTCTACTGTGTATACATACCTCATTTTCACTGTCCGTTCATGTATTGATAAACACTTAGATTGATCCAAGTCTTGGCTATTGTGAACTGCGTGTCAATGAACATGGAAGTGCAGATATCCCTTCAACATACTGTTAAAAGAGAAACTTCAGCCAAATTAAATTTGAAGGAGTTTAATTGAGCAATGAACGATTTGCAAATTGGGCGGCCCCCAGAATCACAGCAGATTCAGAGAGACTCAGGGGTGCCTTGTGGTTGGAACAAACTTGTAGACAAAAAAAGTAAATTGATGTACAGGAATCAGGAGTGAGGTACAAAAGAGCTGGATTGGTTACAAGTCTGCATTTGCCTTATTTGAATGCTCAGCAGTGTATGAGTGACTGAAGTATGGCTGCTGGGATTGGCCAAGACTCAGTGATTGTTACAGAAACATACTCCTAAACTAGGTTTTCAATCTTGTCTACCTGTTAAGTTACATTGCAATTCATCCACAAGGACTCAAATATAGAAGAGTAAAGTCCTTCTCAAGCCATATTTAGTTTCCTTTAGCCATACTAATTTCAGTTCCTTTGGACACATACCCAGACAAGGGATTACTGGGTGATATGGTAGTCCTTTTTTTTTTTTTTTTTGAGACGGAGTTTCACTCTTGTTACCCAGGCTGGAGTGCAATGGCGTAATCTCGGCTCACCTCAACCTCTGCCTCCTGGGTTCAGGCAATTCTCCTGCCTCAGCCTCCTGAGTAGCTGGGACTACAGGCTTGCACCACTATGCCCAGCTAATTTTTTGTATTTTTAGTAGAGACAGGGTTTCACCATGTTGACCAGGATGGTCTCGATCTATTGACCTCGTGATCCACCCGCCTCGGCCTCCCAAAGTGCTGGGATTACAGGCTTGAGCCACCGTGCCTGGCCTGGTAGTTCTAATTTTAGTTTTTTGAGGAAGCTTTATACCATTTTCCATAATGGCTGTACTAATTTAAATTCCTACCAACAATGTATCAGAGTTCTCTTTCCTCTACTTCCTCTTTGACACTGTCATCTTTCATCTTTTTGATAAAAGCCATTCTGACAGCTATGAGGTGACATCTCATTGTGGTTTTAATTGCATTTGCCTAATGATTAGTCTAATTAGTAATGCTGAGCATGTTTTTTATGTACCTATTGGCCATTTGGTTGGTTGGCTCTGTGTTTTTAGTAATGTCTGTCCAAGTCCTTTGTCTATTTTTAAATTGTATTATTTGTTTTTTTACTATTGAGTTTGAGTTGTTTCTATATTTTAGATCTCAATTCCTTATTAAAGGTATGATTTGGCTAGGCACAATGGCTCATGCCTGTAATTGCAGCACTTTGGGAGGTCTAGGTGGGAGGATCATTTGAGGTCGGGAGTTCGAGACCAACCTGGCCAACATGGTGAACTACAGTCTCTACTAAAAATACAAAAATTAGCTAGGCAATAGTGGCAGGTGCCTGTAATCCCAGCTACTTGGAAGGCTGAGGCAGGAGAATCACTTGAGCCTGGGAGGCAGAGGTTGTGGTGAGCTGAGATTTGGCCACTGCACTCCAGTCTGGGTGAGAGAGTGAGACCCTGCCTCAGAAATGAAAAAAAAAAAAGAATAAATAAATTTGTGGTTTGCAAATTCTATGGATAGTCTGTGCTTCTTTTGCTGTGCAGGAGATGTTTAGTCTCATTTGGCTATTTTTGCTTTTGTTGCCTGTGCTTTTGTGGTGGTATCCAAAATAATCATTGCTCAGACCAATGTGAAGCCTTCCTGCTATGTTTTCTTCTAGTTGTTTTACAGTTTCAGGTCTTATATTTGAGTCTTTAATCCATTTTGAGTTGCTTTTTGTATATGGTATGTGGATGTAATTTCGTTTATTCTCTTGGTATACAGTGAGAGTTTTTATTCTATGTACACAAGTTTCCTTTCATCTCAGAAAAGTCTTCTCATTTCTTTTTTTTTTTAACTTTAAGTTCAGGGGCACATGTGTAGATTTTTAAACTTGTGTCACGGGATCTGTTTTACAGATTATTTTGTCACACATCTGTTAAGGCTAGTTGTGCCCACTGATAAGATCACTTATGAATAAAAATATTTTTCTAAATAGATGACATGTTCCAATGTTTTTCTTTGACAGGCACATGAGACTATATCTCTGCTTACACAAATTTGGCCAGAAGGCTCTGACATTCAGCGTGTGTTTTGTGTTACTTCATGCGCATTGTCTTTGAGAATGTACCATCGCTTTTTAGAAAATGGAAATCCCAGGGGATTCCACCAAGATGGCCAAATAAGAACAGCTCCAGAGTGCAGCTCCAAGCAAAAAAGATGCAGAAGGTGCATGATCTCCACATCTCCAACTGAGGTACCAGGTTCATTTCAATGGGACTGGTTAGACAGTGGGTGTAGCCCAAAGAGGGCAAACTGTGGCAGCGTGGGGCCCTGCCTCACCTGGGAAGTGCAACTAACCAGAGGACTGGAGACATTCCCCTCCACTGGCACTTTGGTTCAGATATTGCACTTCTCCCATGACCTCTGCAACCCACAGACCAGGAAATCCCCGTCAGGATGAAAAGCTCCACGAGTTACCAACACAGATCTGAGTGGCAGCTCCAGCAGACAGTGCGGGTTGTCAGCACAGATCTGGGTGAACATGTTGACTAGCAACAAGAGCACCTGCAGGATGGAGCTACCCACTCCCCAGAAGGAGGGGGAGCTAAAAGCAGGGACACAGATGATATGGCTTGTTAGGTTCCACCCCCAAAAAGACCAGCAAACTGAAGCTCTCTTGCTTGAGGGTTTCACAGCCAGCACATCAGTTTGACCTCAACCTGGGATGATTGAGCCTGGTGGGGGGAAGGGCATCCACCATTGCTGAGGGTGTCTAAACCTACCTGTGTAAACAAAAGCCAGAGGAAGCTTATACAGCAGCTGGACTGAGTTCATGACAGCTCAGCAGCATCTCTGCAGGCAGACAAGGGACAGACTGCCTCCTCAAGCAGCTCCCTGATGCCTGTATAAGCAAAAAGACATCTTATACAGGAGACCTCTGGCTGTCACCTGGCAGGTCCCCTTCTGTGACAAAGCTACCAGAGGAAAGATCAGGCAGCAATACTTGCTGATCTGCAACCCCCACGGGTGATTCCCAGGCAAGCAAGATCTAGAGTGGACCTCCAGTAGTCCTACAGCAGACGGGCCTGTTAGAAGGAAAGCTAAAAAACAAAAAGAAATAGCTTCAACATCAACAAAAAGGACATCCACTTAGAGATCCCATCAGAAATCACCAACTTGAAAGATTAAAGGTAGATAAATCCATGAAGATGGGAAGAAACCAGCCCAAAAATGATGAAATCATCAAAGACCAGAATGCTTCTCCTCCTCCAAGGGATCACAGCTCCTCACCACCAAAGGAACAAAACAGGATGGAGAATGAGTTTGATGAATTGAAAGAAGCAGATTTCAGAAGGTGGGTAATAACAAACTTCTCTGAACTAAAAGAACATGTTCTAATCCAATGCAAAGAAACTAAAAACCTTGAAAAAGGATTAGATAAAATGCTAACCAGAATAACCAGCTTAGAGAAGAACATAAACGACTTGATGGAGCTGAAAAATACAGCATGAGAACTTTGCAAAACAACTGCAAGTCTCAATAGCCAAACTGATCAAGCGGATATCAGAGATTGAAGATCAACTCAATGAAATAAAATGAGAAGGCAAGATCAGAGAAAAAAAGAGTGAAAAGAAATGAGCAAAGCCTCTAAGATATATGGGATTATGTGAAAAGACCTAATCTCTGCTTGATCAGTATACCTGAACATGACGGGGTGAATGAATCCAAGCTGGAAAACACTCTTCAGGATATTACCCAGGAGAACTTCCCAAACTTAGTGAGGCCGACCAACATTCAAATCCAGGAAATGCAGAGAACGCCACATAGATGTTCCTCAAGAAGAGCAACTCCAAGGCACATAATCATCAGATTCACCAGGGTTGAAATGTAGAAAAAAATGCTAAGGGCAGCCAGAGAGAAAGTTCAGGTCACCTACAAAGGGAAGCCCATTAGACTCACAGTGGATCTCTCGGCAGAAACCCTACAACCCAGAAGAGAATGGGGGCCAATATTCAACATCCTTAAAAAATAGAACTTTCAACCCAGAATCTCATATCCAGCCAAACTAAGCTTTATAAGCGAAGGAGAAATAAAATTCTTTATGGATAAGCAATTGCTGAGAGATTTTGTCACCATCAGACCTGCCTTACAAGAGCTTCTGAAGGAAACACTTAACATGGAAAGGAACAACCAGTACCAGCCACTGCAAAAACATACCAAATGGTAAAGACCAATGATGCAATGAAGGAACTGTGTCAACTAATGGGCAAAACAACCAGCCAGTAACAAAATGGCAGGATCATATTCACACATAACAGTATTAACATTAAATGTAAATGGCCTAAATGCCCTGATCAAAAGACACAGATGGGTAAACTGGATAAAAAGTGAAGACCCATCAGTATGCTGTATTCAGGAGACCCAACTCACATGCAAAGACACACATAGACTCAAAATAAAGGAATAGAAGAAGATTTACCAAGCAAATGGAGAGAGAGAGAGAAAAAAAGCAGGGGTTGCAATCTTAGTCTCTGATAAAATAGACTTTAAACCAACAAAGATCAAAAGAGACAAAGAAGGGCATTATATAATGGTAAAAGGATCAATCCAACAAAAAGAGCTAACTATCCTAAATATATATGCACCAAATACAGGAGCACCCAGGTACATAAAGCAAGTTCTTAATGACCTACAAAGAGACTTAGACTCCCGCACAATAATAGTGAGAGACTTTAACACTCCACTGTCAACATTAGACAGATCAACGAGACAGAAAATCAACAAGGATATCCAGGACTTGAATGCATAACTGGAACAAGCAGACCTAATAGATATCTACAGAGTTCTCCACCCCAAAGCCACAGAATATACATTCTTCTCAGTACCACATCACGCTTACTCTAAAATTGACCACATAATTGTTAGTAAATCACTCCTCAGCAAATGCAAAAAAATGGAAATCATAACAAATAGTCTCTCAGACCACAGTGCAATCAAATTAGAACTCAAGATTAAGAAACTCATCCAAAGCCACTCAACTACATGGAAACTGCACAGCTTGCTCCTGAATGACGACTGGTTAAACAGTGAAATGAAGGGAGAAATAAAGATTCTTCGAAAACAATAAGAACGAAAACACAACATACCAGAATCTCTGGGACATATTTAAAGCAGTGTCTAGAGTGAAATTCATAGCAATAAATGCCCACATGAGCAGTGAGGGAAGATCTAAAATCAACATCCTATCATCCAAATTGAAATAGCTAGAGGAGCAAGATCAAAAAACTCAAAAGCTAGCAGAAGACAAGAAATAACTAAGATCAGAGAAAAACTGAAGGAGATAGGGACACAAAAACCCTTCAAAAATCAATAAATTCATGAGCTGCTTTTTTTTTTAAAAAGATCAAGAAAATAGACAGACTGCTAGCCAGACTAATACAAAAGAAAAGAGAGAAGAATTGAATAGATGCAATAAAAAATGTTAAAGGGGATATCACCATCAATTCAACAGTGGACACTTACACCCTCCCAAGCCTAAACCAGGAAGAAGGTGAAACTCTGAATAGACCAATAACAAGGGCTGAAGTTGAGGCAGCAAATAATAGCCTACCAACCAAAATAAGTCCAGATCCAGATGGGTTTACAGCCAAATTCTTCCAGATGTACAAAAAGGAGCTGGTAACATTCCTTCTGAAACGCTTCCAAACAACACAAAAAGAGGAAATCCTCCCTAACTCATTTTATGAAACCAACATCATCTGATACCGAAACCTGGCAGAGACACAACTAAAAAAGAAAACTTCAGGCCAATATCCATAATGAACATTAATGCAAAAATTTTCAACAAAATACTTGCAAACCGAATGCAACAGCACATCAAAAACCTTATCCATCACGATCAAGTAGGCTTCATCCCGTAGATGCAAGGCTGGATCAACATATGCAAATCTGTAAATGTAATCCATCACATAAAACAGAACCAAAGACAAAATCCACAGGATTATCTCAATAGATGCAGAGAAGGCCTCAACAAAATTCAACAGCTCTTTATGCTAAAAACTCTCAATAAACTAGGTTTTGATGGAATGTATCTCAAAATAATAAAAGCTATTTATGACAAATTCACAGCCAATATCACTGAATGGGCAAAACCTGGAAGCATTCCCTTTGAAAACTGGCACTAGACAAGGATTCCCTCTCTCATCACTCCTATTCAATATAGTATTGGAAATTCTAGCCAGAGCAATCAGGCAAGAAAAAGAAATAAAGCATATTCAATTAGGAAAATCGGAAGTCAAATTGTATCTATTTGCAGACAACATGATTGTATATTTAGAAGACCCCATTGTATCATCCCAAAAGCTCCTTAAGATGATAAGCAACTTCAGCAAAGTCTCAGGATACAAAATCAATGTACAGAAATCACAAGCATTCCTATAAACCAATAACAGACAAATAGAGAGGCAAATTATGAGTGAACTCCCACTCACAATTGCTACAAAGAGAATAAAATACCTAATAATAGAACTAAAAAAGGATGTGAAGGAACTCTTCAAGGAGAACTACAAATTATTGCTCAAGGAAATAAGAGAGGACACCATCAGATGGAGAAACATTCCATGCTCCTGGTTATGAAGAATCAATGCCGTGAAAATGGCTCTACTGCCCAAAGTAATTTATAGATTCAATGCTATCCCCTTCAGCTACCATTGACCTTCTTCACAGAACTGAAAAAAACCACCTTATATTTTATATGGAACCAAAAGAGAGCCTGCATAACCAAGACAATCCTAAGTAAAAAGAACAAAGCTAGAGGCATCACACTACCTGACTTCAAACTATACACACAAGGCTACAGTATTAAGAACAGCATGGTACTGGTACCAAAACAGAGATATAGACAAATGGAACAGAATAGAGGCCTCAGAAGTAATGCCACACATCCGCAACCATCTCATATTTGACAAACCTGAAAAAAACAAGCAATGGGAAAATGATTCCCTGTTGAATAAATGGTGCTGGGAAAACTGACTAGCTATGTGCATAAAGCTGAAACTGGATCCCTTCCTTACACCTTACAGTTAAATTAATTTCAGATGGATTAAAGATTTAAACATAAGACCTAACACCATAAAAACCCTAGAAGAAAGCCTAAGCAAATGATTCAGGACATAGGCATAGGCAAGGGCTTCATGACCAAATACCAAAAGCAATGGCAACAAAAGCCAAAATAGACATATGGGATCTAATTAAACTTAAGAATTTCTGCACAGCAAAAGAAACAATCATCAGAGTGAACTGGCAACCAACAGAATGGGAAAAATTTTTGTAATCTAACCATCTGACAAAGGGCTAATATCCAGAATCTACAAAGAACTAAAGCAGATTTACAAGAAAAAAACAAACAAACCCATCCAAAAGTGGGTGAAAGATACGAACAGACACTTTTCAAAAGAGGACATATATGAGGCCAAGAAACATGAAAAAATGCTCATCAGCACTGGTCAATAGAGTATGCAAATCAAAACCACATTGAGATACCACCTCACGCCAGTTAGAATAGCGATCATTAAAAAATCTGGAGACAACAGATGCTGGAGAGGATCTGGAGAAATAGGAACACTTTTACACTGTCATTGGGAGCGTAAATTAGTTCAACCATTGTGGAAGACAGTGTGGTGATTCCTCAAGGATCTAGAAATAGAAATTCCACTTGACCCAGCAATCCCATTACTGGGTATACACCCAAAGGACTATAAATCGTTCTGTTATAAAGACACATGCACACCTATGTTTATTGTGGCACTGTTTACAACAGCGAAGACCTGGAACCAACCCAAATGCCCATTGATGGTAGACTGGAAAAGGAAAATGTGGCACATACACACCATGGAATACCATGCAGCCATTAAAAAAGGATGAGTTCATGTCCTTTGCAGGGATATGGATGAATCTGGAAACCATCATTCTCAGCAAACTGACACAAGACCAGAAAACCAAACACTGCATTGTCTCACACTTAGTAGGCTGTTGAACAATGAGAAGGCATGGGCACAGAGAAGGGAATGTCACACCCTGGGGTGTGTTGGGGGCTGGAGGCTAGGGAAAGGACAATGGGGCATGGGGAAGTTGGGGAGGAATAATATTGGGAGAAATGCCTGATGTAGGTGTCGGGGTGATGGAGACAGCCAACCACCGTGGCATGTGTATACCTATGTAACAATCCTGCAAGATCTGCGCGGAAATTAAAGTACAATAATTTAAAAAAAGAAAACAGAAATCCTTCCTCTGGTCAGAAAACTGAGACCCAACAGGTGTTTTTGTTATATAACTTTACTGTGAAATACTATTGCTCTCCACCTAGGAAGTTTTATTGATTTCTATCGTTCATTTCCTCTATTTAGTATTTCATGTTTTTCTCTTATTTATATACACTTCAAAAAATAAAACTGAAATTTATGTTTATAAGGAAACATTTATTGTGCCATTCAATAATATAAGATTTTACTATGTGGCTGTTTCCCTTAGTATATATTGAGTCTAAATCATCGAAAGGAAAATAAAACAACACAGGATATTAGTAATTGGTGGAAGCCTACTATGCGACTATGTTTTGGGCTTTTTATATGCATTGTGCCATGAAATCCTCACAACAGCCTTGTGAGAAAGTACTATTAATCCCATTTCACATATGAGAACACTGAAGTTGAAATACTCCAGGTAACATTTTTCAAACCAAAGCTATTAAATAGCAATGTGGATGGAGCTCAGGTCTGTCCTGGGCAAATTTCACACTGCCAACTGTCTATTTTTTCTTTTTTGAGAGGGTGTCTCACTCCTGTTGCTCAAACTGGAGTGCAGTGGCACAATCTCGGCTCACTGCAACCTCTGCCTCTCAGGTTCAAGTGATTCTTCTGCCTCAGCCCCCCGGGTAGCTGGGATTACTTGTGTACACCACCACACCTGGTTAATTTTTTGTATTTTTAGTGGATATGGGTTTCACCATGTTGATGAGGCTAGTCTTGAACTCTTTACCTCAGGTAGTCCACCCACCTTGGCCTCCCCAAAGTGCTAGGATTACAGGTGTGAGCCACTGTGCCCAGCCACCAACTGTTTTTTGAAAGAACATTCCTACTGTAGTTTCTTGGCGTCATCCTAGCCAGAAAGATACTAACGTTTTGAACCCTCTTTATGGCTAATAAGGTTCATTAAGAATCTGTTGGCCAGTCTGGATTCCTTCCCCAAATATACAGTGGTCTCTACATATATGTGATTATGGGTGTGCATGTGTACACATACACACACACACTCAGACACACATGTATACACATACTATTCTGTATATGATCTCCTGGGGGATTCTTGGCTAAAGATTTCTGTTAAAGAGAAATGAAGTTTCTGAACATTTTGGAAATGTTCAGGGCTCATTATCTTTTACCTAGTATCCTTATAATTGTTCTCCCAATATCTGATTGAATATATTTTTAGTGAAACATTTCTTCATGACTAGACATGCTATGTTAAATCATTCTCACAAAAATGATGCTAAGTCAAATCTGTCTCCCTGGGACTTCTAATGATTAGACTCTATTTGGCCTTCTGGAGGTGCCTTGATGAAATCCTACACTTGCTTCTTTGACAGCTCTGTAAATGTTTGATGATAGCTATCACGTTCTTGTCCCACAATGTCAGATGCCCACTTCTTTACCCTTGTTCTCATGGGGCAGGTTTTTCAGATCTGTTACCATCCTGGTGTCCTCGATCTGGTAATTTCAACATTATCCTAAAAATATGATGCCTTGGATGGAATAGAGCATTTAATATGTGGCTCCATCCATGCAGAGTCCTGTGAAATTATGACTTCGTTAGTTGCTTGATCAGCTCATGTAGAATTTGGCTTAACTAAAAATCCTGAAAATTGTCTTATTTTAACTACTGTTAAGTTGGCAGCTTCCTGCTCCACTTATCTCACATCTGCATAAATGCGGTAGAGTTTATGTTATAAAGAAAAGGAAAGTCTTTACAAAATGTAGAATGAAAAATGTAATAATTCAGCTGGGCACGGTGGCTCACACCTGTAATCCTAACACTTTGGGAAGCCGAGGTGGGTGGATTACCTGAGTTCGGGGGTTCGAGACCAGCCTGGCCAACATGGTAAAACCCTGTCTCTACTAAGAATACAAAAGTTAGCTGGGCCTGGTGGTGGATACCTGTAATCCTACCTACTCAGGAGGCTGAGGCAGGTGCATCACTTGAACCTGGGGGTCAGAGGTTGCAGTGAGCCGAGTTCGTGCCACTTTGCTCCAGCCTGGGTGAAAGAGTGAAACTCTGCCAAAAAAAAAAAAAGAAAAGGAAAAAAAAAAGTAATAATTACTGATTCCTGTGCAGCAAAGGTGGCTGCCAGCTCCTGTGGTCCTAGATGCTTATTAGGCAGTGTCACATCCTGCTGTTCTCTGGCTTACCTTCTTTATTTTATTCAGGTGAAAAGTAATTGCTTAACCCTGCAGGAGATGGAAGATTTGTGTAAACTGCACTGTCTCACTGTGGTTCTTCTTCTCCATCTGCCTCTTTCTCAAAGAGCTTGTGCTAGATTCATCACTTCCCATTGGGCGGAGGACATGAAGCCTTTATTAAAAATGGTAAATGTACTCTTGATTAATTTACTATTTTTGTATTTTGCATGTTTGATAGATAAAAACCACAATAACTTTTAAAATTCACTTATGTGGAACTACTTTTAGTTCAGTGGCCTACATCCATCATTTTCTCACTTCAGCATCTATGTTTAAGAGAACTAACACATAGCATGATATATATTTAACCTAAGGAAAAAGCTTCTCTATTTATTTGTTGTTAAATCTCTGCTAATATCAGGTTTTTGTGTTATCAACTATTGTTGATTGCTGATGTTCACTGTGGTCTGCTCTTAAGAGAAACTTAAGAAATCAATATAATAGTTTATTATTTTCTGTTATAGAGAATATTTAGAGACAATTTGGAGACTTTAGGAAAACAGAAGCAAAAACCAAAAAAAAAACTTGCCCAGAGGACTACCACTTAAATCATTGTGGATAGCTATTAACATTTTGGTGTATTCTCTTTATTTTACATGCATGTGTTTTTCTGATATTTTATTGTTTCTTATATTGGAGCTCTCTATATATACATACATATTATTTTCTTTTCATGTTTTTCTATTTTCTTTCACAATACTAGTATCATTTTTAATGGCTATTAGTTATCTTTTAGTATCATGGTTTACTTAATCATCTCTCTATTATGAAATATTAAGAAGACTTTGATGATAGTATTAGAGATGCTGTTATTCTCTTTGTGTATAAGCCTTTTCCTTTAATTTGGGGTTATTGATTTTGACTTGAGAGCTAGAAATGGGATTGATGGATCAATTGGCATGAACTTTTTTTAAGGATCATGATACATATAGTGAAAATGTTCAAGGAAAGTATTTTATAACCAATCAACTAGGAAGCCAGTCCACAGACATTTAGTGCATTGTGCTTATCACTGGGATAGAGTGAGGAAAATAAAGACATATTTGCCCTTCCCACTCTAACCCCTTCATAGAGCTATATTTTCCAGAGAAGACAGATATTAAATTTTAAAAGTAATTATGAAGAAGAAACCATAGGATGCTTTATAATCTGATAATAAAAGGATCTAATGTAGTCTGAAAACAGTGGTTCTTCTTAAGATATGAAGAGACCCAAGTCCTGAAGGAAGGGAGGGAGTTAGCAGGATGGAGAGAGGATGAAACTGTATTCCAGGGCATCAGTCAGCATGTGTGATTATCCTGAGGATGGAATCACCAAGGGACTGAGATACATCTATCATAGAAGGGGCAGGAAAAATGCGGCAAAGTGATGAAGCGGAAGAGGTGGATAAGAGACAAGTCCCATAGGATTCTGTAGGCCCTGTGAAGAGAATGGAGATAGAACTTGAGAAAAGTGCAATGAGGATCCACTGGATGGTTTCAAGTGGCACTTGCATTGGAAAAAACTTTTCTTGGCTTGCAGTGCACAGAGTGCATTTTGGGAGCAGAACAGGGGGGATTCATGGAAATTAGGTGACTGTTACCTCAGTCATGTACATGTGGATGGTGTTAGGGACCAGCGAGGGGTAAGTAGAGATGAACAGCAGTGGGCAATTTTGAGAGCTATTTAAGGGGAACGGGAGAAAGGAAGGAGTCAAATAGCTCCTAGACCCCTGGCTTGAGCCTTTTGGGGATGCTGCCATTGGATGAAGGGCATGTTAGTGGGGAAGGATTGTGAGTTTCTTTTCTGGAAGTATCAAGTTTAAAGTGCCAATGAAATGTCCACTTGGAGATATCTAGTAAACAATTTGAAACAATGGTTTGGACTTAGAAGGATGGAATGGGCTGGAGATAAAAGTTTAGGAATCGTTACCCTATGGATGTGAATTGATGCTATGCTAAGAGATGAAATTATTTTGGAAGAGACATATGGTAAGAGAGCTGAGGACAGGGAGTTCAAATATTCCAATATTAAAAACTTAACTACGTGTTGCGACACGCAAAAGACACTGAGAAGGAACCACTTAGATAAATAGGAATAAAATCAAGGAGAATGGGTTGTCCTGAAGGTCAAAGGAACTGGGCAGTTCGAAAGGTGGCTGTGGTTAATAGTATCAGCTGCCATAGAGGACTGTAATAGGCAGAGGACTGAAAATACGCTGGTTTTAATGACACGGAGCTCACTATTGAGCATAATTAAAAGACTAATTAAGGTCTAGGTTGTTCTTTTAGCTAATAGAAAACATTTGTCTTTAATTAGACATACAACGATCCTCTTATGCCCTCATTTTGCAAAGGAAAAACTTGGCCTCACCTTCATGATCCATGAGCACAGCTAATGAATGATCAAATTGCGATCTGACTTCCCTCTGTCCAGCTTCCAAATATGTGCCCTATGGAGCAACAGCTGATTAGCCTGTAGTCAGCCACCCGTTCTGCCTTTCCCATACTCCACGCCTCATTTTTGGTAACACTCTGTAGCTTGAAGTGTAATTTCAGATAGCCCCTAATATTTTCACTATAAAATAATTTTTGAGGCCTCTGGAGAAAGCAACTAAGCAAATCGTAGAAGGGATCCTTCCATGAGATTTACTCTGAATCTTGAAGATGGTGATCAACCGGGTAGGTGGATGGGAATCTTAGAGTTTGAAGGATTCAGCATCTTCTAGGTCCCCAGACACTCAAATACATTATTTAAAAAATGCTCTTTTGACCTGAAAGTTAAATATGAGCATATTAAAATCTGAAAAAAGAGCGGAAGCACATTTCAAAGCAGGAATATTTCTGTAGCATTGGGATTCTATCTGTGGGTAACAGTGTGAGAAAAACACTATTTTGAGAGTCAAATGCAGATTTCCTTGATTCAGGATAAAGCACTCTATGGAATGCATTTTTTGGATCAGTTTTTATTTTATTTTATGCTTTAATTCCTTAAGGTATAAAGCATTCACCATTCCCCAGCCTGAACGCGCTTACATTAGTAAGAATTAGAACCATGTTCTACCCTGCCTTTCAGTTCAGAAGCATATGAACTCTATAGTTTATTAATATGAAAATTGCCAACAACTTGGTTTTCTTTTCAATTTTCAGAAAAAGTGGTGTGAATATTTCATCTTAAGAAATATACATACTTTTGAATTTTGGAATCTGAATTTAATTCACCTTTCTGACTTAAGTGATGAGCTTTTGTTGAAGAATATTGCTTTTTACTATGAAAATGAAAATGTAAAAGGTACCATCTCAGTATATTATAATAATTGTATTTTCATCCACAGACAAGCTTTATAAGGAATTTAAAACTACAAAATAATTTTTCTGTATTTTCAACATATAACATAGCAATTATATTCATTTCTTTTCATCTTTGTTCACATATGTATGTAATTTTTTAGTTGCAATCAAGAGGGAATGCTGTATTTTAAAACATTTCTTCAGTTAATATTACATTAAAAGTATTTCTGGAGAAAATACATGTTTGCATGTTCAGCATTTTCAGTTAATTTTAAAAGTTGAATTTTTTTCAGTTAAATGCATGCATAATATTTTTTCATAAAATTTAATCATTTCACTGCCATTAAGATCTTTAGGAAATTTATTTTTCCCCAAAATATAATGCAATTTATATATTTTATATGTTTGCTTTTCTTTCCCTAATATCTTTTCTTAGAATAAGGTTTCTGATGTTTCCTAATAGTTAAACAAAGCAAAGCAAAACTAAGACATATTTGGACAGAACTCTAACTGATTGAACATTATTGAAGTTTTGACCACTGTGATGTGGTTCCTTCATATTGTAATCACCGTAATAAACTGGCTGCATGTAAACTTAACAATCCTTTACAAATTTTTCTCATCTCTCAAAAATTAAAGTTTTTATTCAGTTTTGTTGATTGTAAAGTTATGTGTGGCATGACATTTTTATTACCTTGAAGAGTAGTTAAATGTTCATGATTTGTCTTTTTTTTTTTGAGACGGAGTCTCACTCTGTCACCAGGCTGGAGTGCAGTGGCGCAGTCTCGGATCACAGCAACCTCCGCCTCCTGGGTTCAAGTGATTCTTCTGCCTCAGCCTCCCGAGTAGCTGGTACCACAGGCATGTGCCACCACGCCCGGCTAGTATTTGTATTTTTAGTAGAGACGGGGTTTCACCATGTTGGCCAGGATGGTCTCGATCTCTTGACCTTGTGATCTGCCCGCCTCGGCCTCCCAAAGTGCTGAGATTACAGGCTGATTTGTTTTTTAAGTTAATATAGTTATAATTTGAATACTTAGCTATTAAAAAGAAAAACAAGATTAACTTTACAATCTGTATCTCTTTGTCAACACTAGTGACTCTTTTCATTTATGTCCAATGTGGAACTCACTAAAAATTTCACCGTGTTGAAAGTATTTCAAAATTCCATGAATTTACTCAAAATGTGGCTAATGATTCTTTGTGTGGGTGTGAATAGATTCTAATATTTAGTGTTTTTAATTATTATGTAGGCCCACATTTGAATTTGGGAGATACCATTATGAAAGATTATGAATATCTCTGGAATATCATATCAAAGTTGGTCAGAGACTTTGAGATTGGACAGCCATTTCCTCTGAGAAAAACAAAATTTTGTTTTCTTCAAAAGAAACCATCACCAATCAAAGGTAATAAATTTCTATTTTAATCTGAAATGAAAGCACCATTTCTCTAAAAATGTTTAGTAAACACCACTAATTCAGTGCTGCAAGAATAAATAATTTTCTGGCACTTGATTTTAACAATAAAAATAAGTCACCTTTATTCTACATCCTTGGAGTAGTATGCTATAATCATAATAATCAACGTTTACATTTTGCTTATAATTAATATTGTTTCAATTAAGAAACACAGCCAGGTATATGTGACTTCCATTTCCAGCAATATGGCAGTATAGGTAAACAGAAAAATCTCTTTGTGTAAAACACCTGAAATGATGGATAAGAGACACCAAACATATTTTTGTATAATTATAGCTAAGCTCAAAACAATAGAAAGGGAATCCTGGGGGCTGAAAAATTTAGGGAAGGCCACATGGGCTCTCCGGCTCTTTTAGGCAGCGAGTTGCAGGGGCCTAAATCAGAAACGATCCGGACAAACACAGGCAGAGGGAGGGCCAGGAGCTCAGGCAGAGCAATGGCGGTTTACCTGGAATCATGAGCCAGACGTTCCATAGAAAGTCATCCATTCCTCCGTTATCATCATCCTGTATGCGATGTGTATGTATGTATGTATCTATCGTCTATCTGTCATCTATCTACCTATCTCTATCTATCTATCTATCTATCTATCTATCTATCTATCAATCATCTATCATCTATTTGTCATCTATCTATTCCCTATCTATCAATTATCTATCTATCTATCTATCTATCTATCTATCTATCATCTATCTATCTATATCTATCTATCTATATCTATCTAATTTTGTGTGTGTGTGTGTGTGTGTGTGTGTAAAATCAAGGAGGATCAAAGAGAATACTGCAATGGAATCAAATAATTTCACTATCATCTGTGTTTTTCCCTACTTCTTTATTTCATTTTCATTTATGTGTGTGTGTGTGTGTGTGTGTGTGTGTGTGTGTGTGTGGTGTGTATATATGGATCATCATATGTATCTATCATTTATTTATCATCTATCTACCTATCTTTGATCTATCAATAATCTACCTATTCCCTATCTATTAATCATCTATCATCTATCTATCTTCTATCAATTATCTATCATCTATTATTCTCCATTAATCATCTATCATTTATTATCTATTGACCATCTGTCATTTATCTATTATCTATCTACATGTCTATTATGTATCTACCTATCTATCTACATCTATCTATTATTTATCTATCTGTCTGTCTCGTGTGTGTGTGTGTGTGTGTATGTGTACAAAATCAAGGTGGATCCAAAAGAATACTGTAATGGTATCAAATAATTTCACTACTATCTGTATTTTTCACTACTTCTTTTTTATTTCATTTTTATGAGAGTCTCTCTCTGTGTGTATATAGATATAGATATATAGTCTCTGAGGTTTCCATCTTCAAACTCTTTGCTTGTAATAAGAAATAATAAAAGGAATTCACACTTGAAAATGAAAGGCATAGGAATCTTTCCCTCCTCCCTCCCTTCCTCTTCTGCTGTTCCTTCCTTCCTTCCTTCCTTCCTTCCTTCCTTCCTTCCTTCCTTCCTTCCTTCCTTCCTTCCTTCCTTCCTTCTTCCTGTCTGATTTATCCATCTATGATCTATCTACTTACCCATTCATCCATCCACCCATCCATCCATCTGTCCACCCACACATCCCCCATGCATATCCACCTATATGCCAAAATGCTGTCTAATACCTTATACTCTGCTGTATACCAAAGTGTTTTACTGTGGGAAATAGCTTTAAAAGAAGGGCTGAACTTGATACATATAAATAAGATTAATATAAAATGTTTTTAATGTGGAATTTTAGAAAATAATACATAACATTCCTGTCTGAAAGTTTTCCATTTGTCCCTGTCTCCATTTTTTGTTTTCAGACAGCTCCAGTGAAATGGTGCCCAATTTGGGTTTTATTCCAATGTCATCTTCTCTGGTTGATCAATTTGCTGGAGATATTTTGAAAGATTTGCCTTTTCTAAAGAGGTATGAGGCCCAAAAGTGTGCCTTAATAAATGCTTGTATGGAATGCATGAGTTATTCAACAAAGATTATTTGAAATGCAGAAGACTGGAGTACATGACATGTAGCATGTATTTGTAACACAATTAATTTAAAATCAAATTTTTCAGTGCTCTTTGGCCATTACTGTGTAAAAATCTATATAGCTTTTAATCTTAGAATAAATCACTACAGCTGCATATTTTAAATTAATTAGTGAATGAATATTAGTTGATATTGATGGGACTGTTAGAGACAAGGAATAGATTTTGATTTATTAAACCGCTAATAAACTGCTCTTTGGATTCTACCACCCACATCATATTGCGGAAAGAGGAAGGGGAGCTATGATTTTCAAAAATATCATAAAATGAAATGTGTGCTGTGTGCAATTTAAAATATGCCTTTTCAGGAGAATTGCCTGAACCCAGGAGGCGGAAGTTGCGGTGAGCCAAGATCGCGCCATTGCACTCCAGCCTGGGTAACAAGAGCGAAACTCCGTCTCAAAATAAATAAATAAATAAAATAAAATAAAATATGCCTTTTATTTTTTGTCTCACAGTGACGATCCTGTTGTTACCTCGCTGGTTAAACAAAAGGAATTTGATGAGCTTGTGCACTGGCATTCTCATAAACCCCTGAGCGATGATTATGACAGGACCAAATGTCAGTTTGATGGTGAGCTCTGTGACTCTGGTGAAATAAATCTAAATTTACTTGACTCTCTACCTTTTACTTCATAGTGGAAAATTGTCATATCATGAGACACAAATTAAAGTTTTTTAATATAGTCTATGAGATATTTAGATGTGCATCGGGAAAGACGGTAATGATAACTTCTCTTTTTCTTTACTGACAGTCATACATATGTAGATATGTAGGTGTTTAGGAGAAAGTGCTAGGAGTTGTTTTAAGGAAAGATGGTTTGTAGTTTAAGCAATGTATGTATTCCTTGGAGTCAGATATATTGAGTCTTTCAAGCAATTTTATCTGTTTACACACCATCTGATTGACTGCATGTAATGAGCACCAGCATTCTATCTGCCTTCATGCTCAGAGTGGCTGAAACTACAAAAGGAGGCCCATTAAACCAGTAACAGTGGATCACCAGAGACCAAATTAGGGGTCTAGCCTTCATCTCAACTTTCTGTATCCCTGTGCTTGCCCCCACCCCACTTAGAGTTGAAAAGACTTACTCTGAGAATAATCTAGGAGTAGGCATAGCAAGTATGCTCGTATGAAGTGCTTATTGGCCTGGTATGTAAATAATGACCAACGTGTGGGGGTGATGCTTTCAATGAACCATTAACATGCTTCTGAGTGCTTTGGTTTGATGTATAGTTACAGACATAGAGAAATTAATCATCTTAGTTACTGCATTTCCATGAATATTATAGTTGTTTATGGAGGTAAGGGTGTAAGACATACCTTGACTATTATTGGGACTTTTTTTTTTTTTTGAGATGGAGTTTCACTCTGTTGCCCTGGCTAGAGTGCAGTGGTGAGATCTTGGCTCACTGCAACCTCTGCCCCCCAGGTTCAAGCAATTCTACTGCCTCAGCCTCCCAAGTAGCTTGAGATTACAGGTATGCACCACCATTACTGGCTAATTTTGTATTTTTAGTAGAGAAGGGGTTTCACCATGTTGGTCGGGCTGGTCTCGAACTCCTGATCTCAGATGATCCACCCACCTCCCAAAGTGCTGGGATTAGGCGTGAGCCACTGCACCTGATGTTTATTGGGACTTCTTATTAGATTTTGCCAGTCTAGCTGCCATGCTCTGGGCTCTGGTTCTGTGGCTATAGTCTGGAGTAAGGATTTTTTCTAGGCAGTGATGCAAGAAGTCAGAATATTTTAGATGTTTGTCTTCTTGACTCTGCCTCTATTTTCTTCTAAAATGAATTCACAGGCACAAGACATAGGTAATGCATGGAATCTGTCGTTTTTTTGTTGCACTCTGATACCTGAGTTAGGGGGTAGACCATTAAAGTATGCTTTGTCACTTCCTCCTTTTAAATAAGAGAAGGAATTATTATCCTCAGATAATCTGATTTTACATTCTCTCTTTAGGAAGCATAATAAGATTAAATTATTTTTCCACTAATCTAACCACTGGATGTGGGATAATATGAAGAAGTGATGAGAATGCAGTTGAAAAACTACAATAATGTTACATTTTAAGTCTTTTCTTTTTCAGAAAAATCTAGAGATCCTCATGCTCTTAAATCTCTACAGAAGTATCATGTTTTCCAACGATTTTATGGGAATTCATTAGAAACGGTCTCTTCGAAAGTCATCGTGACTCAACCTATTAAGTCAAAGAAAGATTTTAGTGGGCCCAAGAGCAAAAAGGCACATGTAGGTCTTATAAATTCTATCAAATTAAAAAATTTTTCTTTTTCTTTCCTCACGTTGATATTAGTTATCCATATATATATATATATGTGTGTGTGTGCGTATATATATATATATATATACGCACACACACACATATATTTTTATACATGATTACTTATTCTTTTAACTACTTGCTGAAAAAGCCTAACCTGCATAAAAAAGTTGTAATGGTATTCTATACATGATAACATATTTATCTATCTGAAGAATAATGAAGTGACTAAAGTTTTGGGTTTAGAAATGTTGAAATAATATTAAAAATATAGGCCAGCACATTGGTTCACACCTGTAATTCCAGTGCTTTGGGAGGCTGAGACAGGCGAATCATGAGGTCAGGAGTTTGAGACCAGCCCGGAAAACACGGTGAAACCCTGTCTGTACAAAAAATACAAAAAACATTAGCCAGATGTGGTGGCAGGCACCTGTAGTCCCAGCTACTCGGGAGGCTGAGGCAGGAAAGTCGCTTGAACTGGGGAGGTGGAGGTTGCAGTGAGCCAAGATGGTGCCGCTGCATTATAGCCTGAGCGACAGTGTGAGACTCCATCTCAAAACATATGTATTTGTTTATTAGTTAATGGGAGTGAAAATCTTTTTCAGATATGAAATATTTATCTACTTTTTTCTAAATTATAAAGATTGTTTATACTTTTCCAAAGTATTTAAATGACTGATTAATCCACCCCGTTTTTAGGGTGGAAGGTTAGAACTCTCCATTTCCTCTTTCTGTGTGGGTTAGACCCCTGTGACCTTTCCTTTTTCCTTCTTGGGATGTTGTTTTTCTACTCTTTTCCCAAGGGCCATAACTGGGGAATTATTATTCCAGAAATAGATTGTAACTTTCCTTAGTTACAATGTAAATTGAGTAACTTTCCTTACTCAATTTACATTGGAGTAAATAAGGAAAGTTACTATTTGTGGAATAATAATACTATAATACTATAATAATAATAATAATACTTCAATGAGTAAATAAGGAAAGTTACAATCTATTTCTGGAATAATAATATTAATACTTATTTATACTAATACTAATTAGATAATATATTTACTCATTTCCTCCAATGAATAAATAAGGAAAGTTATAATCTATTTCTGGAATAATAATACTCCAATGAGTAAATAAGGAAAATTACAATCTATTTCTGGAATACTAATACTAATACTTATTTATACTAATACTAATTAAATAATATATTTACTCATTTACTCCAATGAATAAATAAGGAAAGTTACAATCTATTTCTGGAATAATAATTCTAATAGCTTATAATCTGAAAATTATCAGCTGATAATTTCTGATAACATTAATGTTTAAGTACAGAAATTTTTATTTTAAAACTGAATTTTCTGATTTTATGACTTCAGAGGAAGGTCATAAAGGTTTCCATTTTAAACAAATGGGAAACTCATCCGGCTTTAGCATCTTTCTGTGGGCCTCAAAGTTGGAGATTTGGGAACGGCATTTATTTTCGCAAAAAGTTTCTCCCAAGATCTGTTTTAATATAAAGAGAAAGTATCAACTTAACAAAACCAATCATGAATAAAGGCATTTGTCACATGTCTGCCTTAACAGATTGAAATAAACATGGTGAAGTTATCAGAAATGAAACCTATAAAGACCTCAGAAAGTATTTTTATTCTCGCTTCTGAATAATTACTTTTGTGAAATTTTTGGCAAGATCAGGAAAATGTGCATTGCCTCTCCAAGCCTTCAATGGACATTGCAGAACTCTTAGAGACAGATACTTCATCAGTTCAAGGACTTATCAAAGAAAAAGCTCTTTTATTTTCTACTCAAGATAACATCAAAAACTAATTACAAATTACTCTAAAAGGTTCTCAGACCTTCTGTGAAGCCTCTATCCTGGAACTGCTTCAAAATTCAGGAAGAAATTGGGCTGCCCCATCTTTTGTTTTCAGAGTCAAAGGGAAGCCTCTCCAAGCCCAACTACATGATCATTGTTTCTCTCCTCCTTTTCATTTTTATAGCCGATTTGATTGTCAGTGAGACTATTCAATTAAACATTTATGGGGGATAAAAGCTGCTGCTTTTCAGTTTTTTTTGGACATACTCAGTAAGTTTTTATTATTTCCCATAGCTATACAAAAGCAACTCAAAGGCATTTTTCTTCTCAACAGAAGTATTACTTTCTTTTAGGAATAGGTCTTTAGATGCTAGGAAATGGTCTTGTGGGTAAGCTTGCTCTCCTCCTCCTTTTGGGGAGCAGCTTTCTATAATGTTTGCAGGGGCAGTCAAATCGGTAGAGGGATCATTTGTAGGTTGCGGTGATCTATGCTTTGGATCACCTGTTGTTTACCCATTTATATTACTAGATTGATGGTCATTTTCATTTTTTCAAATCTGAAACATCTGGGCCTTGATTAGTTGGAGTCTGATTTTCATTCATTTATTTTCAGAGATGTTATGAAATAGTAAATTTGCAGATATTCTTGTCACATAATACAATGTATGAAAATAGAAAAATCTACATGGCAAAGGGTCAGAGGTAACCCTTGTACTATTGAGACAGAATTGTGCTAAATTGGCCCAACACAGCAAATTAGGAAGACTAAACACTAGAAAAGCTCAGACATTATTGATTAGAATTATTTAAGTTTCTAATTTAGAGACTCATGACCTAAAATTGACTTCCTTAAAGGCAAGCATTTACATATTAATTTTGTGACTAACCAGAAAAGTGGAAGATATGTTGGAACCCTCTTGCTAATACAACAATTCTCTAATTTGTCTTCATAGATTAATGAGTCAGCTTGGTAAAAGCATAGTAAAAGTGGGTCCATACCATGTTTAAGTACATTGGAAATGCTCATTGAGGAAGAGCAAAGCAGTTGTATTTGTGTTGTTCCTTCTATCCACCTCTTTTCTTCCTCTTTCCTTGTTCACTCATCAAACATAATGGGCTAAATGCGTTCGTTGCACTTGAGATGTACAGACAGCAAAGGCACATTCCTGTCTCAAGGATTTCAGTCAAGAGAGGAGGAATGGCAAATGAAATGACAACTACAGTTTGTGTTAATGAGTGCTCCAATGAGTGTCTGAGCACAGGAAGAATCCATGACTTAGACTTCGGAGAGTCAGGGAAAGGTTCATGGATGAAATAAAGAACAGGTAGAGATGAGGGAGGTGACTTGGGAAGAATGGAAGAGGACAGGGATTCCAGAGAGAGCAGCAGGAAACATGAAAAGAGTGGTGGCCTCGTGTCTCTGATTTTGTGATATTAACTCTTTTTCTTTCTTATTTATTTATTTATGAGACGGGGTCTTGCTCCATTGCCCAGGCTGGAGAGCAGTGGCCCAATCTCGGCTTTCTGCAATCTCTGTCTCCCGGGTTCAAGGGATTCTTATGCCTCAGCCTCCTGAGCAGCTGGGACTACAGACAAATGCCACCATGCTCTGCTAATTTTTGTATTTTTAGTAGAGAAGAGATTTCACCATGTTGGCCAGGCTGATCTCAAAACTCCTGGCATCAGGTGATCCGCCAGCCTTGGCCTCCCAAAGTGCTAGGATTACAGGTGTGAGCCACCGTGCCCGGTGACATTTACTCTTTTATTTATAAACCACACCAATCAGAAATCTAGAAATTATCTACAGAGAGACTCTATACTCCCTAAATTAAATTGTCATAAGTTATAAATTAACAGAGGCTTAATTTACAAAACAAAAAAAGAAATTTTCATGTGTTCTCAAAATGGGGTGATGGTCAAAGTCATCAATATACACTTAATATTGTCTCGCTCATGACCTGTTATCTTGAAATATTTCTAACTTGTTTTAAGAGATTTTTTCTTTTCTTTGGGGCAGGAGACCAAGGCTGAAATAATTGCTAGAGAGAATAAGAAAAGATTATTTGCCAAGGAAGAACAAAAGGAAGAGCAAAAGTGGAATGCTTTGTCATTTTCTATTGAAGAGGAAATGAAAGCAAATTTACACTCTGGAATAAAGAAGCTGGAAGACTTTCTGAAATCCTGTAAAAGTAGCTCTGTGAAATTTCGGGTTGAAATGGTGGGGTTAACTGCCTGCCTGAAAGCCTGGAAAGAGCACTGCCGCAGTGAAGAAGGTATGTGATTCTGTGTTTTCTTGTTTCAGTGAGTTGGAGAATTAATACAAAAGTAATGATGATAGTTGCCATTTACTATCTGGAAGACTTGGATTAGAAAACTGACATGCACTATCCTGTTTTATGGATTATTACCTCTACAATAGTTTTCCACTATCTGCATGGGGTGTGATCTAAGACCAATAGTAATTGCCTGAAACTACGGATAGGACCAAATGCTACATACACGCTGTTTTTTCCTATTCATACATACCTATGATAAAGTTTAATTTCTAAATTAGGTACAGTAAGAGATTAACAATAGCTAATAATTATAAAAATATACTGTAATAAAAGTTATATAAATATAGTCTCTCTTCCTCAAAATACCTTTTTGCACTGTACTCATCCTTTTTCTTCTTGTGAGAATGTGAGATGATAGAATGGCTGCATGATGAGGTGAAGTGAGGTGAATGATGTAGGCTTTGTTGACCTTCAGATGATACAAAAGGTGCAGGATCTTCTGCTTCAGGTGATCCTGCATCTCTAAGCCATGATGGAGCACATGATGGAGGAGACGATATTGATGATTGGGGACCTCCATACTTGAAAGATTTCTGATGAAATCTTTTGGAAGAACAACATTATCAGTAACTGTTGTCACTTTTTTTGGATGTTGTCTTGCTCTGTCACCCAGGCTGGAGTGCAGTGGCATGATCCCAGCTGACTGCAACCTCTGCCTCCCAGGTTCAAGTGATTCTCTTGCCTCAGCCGCCCAAGTAACTGGGACTACAGGCGTGTGCCACCATGCTCAGCCAATTTTTGTATTTTTAGTAGAGATGGGGTTTCACCATATTGGCCAGGCTGGTCTCAAAATCCTGACCTCATGATCTGCCCACCTCAGTCTCCCAAAGTGCTGGGACTACAGGCATGAGCCACCGTGCCCCGCCACTGTTTCCATGAAGGTTGCAATTCTTTTGTGATTATATGGATGACTTTAATGCTGTGTTCCAATGAGAATTGTATTCCATAATTTTTTCTTATTTGTTTTTTCTTTTTTTGAGACAGAGTTTCGCTCTTGTTACCCAGGCTGGAGCACAATGGCGTGATCTCGGCTCACCGCAACCTCCACCTCCTGGGTTTAGGCAATTCTCCTGCCTCAGCCTCTTGAGTAGATGGGATTACAGGCACACGCCACCATGCCCAGCTAATTTTTTATATTTTTAGTAGAGACGGGGTTTCACCATGTTGACCTGGATGGTCTCGATCTCTTGACCTTGTGATCCACCCGCCTCGGCCTCCCAAAGTGCTGGCATTACAGGCTTGAGCCACCGCGCCCAGCCAGTTTTTTCTTTTAATATCTGTGTAATTTGAAACACTTCAGCAAATTCAGGTTCTGCTTCAGGTTCTTCTTCTTCATCTTCCTTTATAGATGACTCAATAAGTTCTTCCATTTCCTCATTTGTTAACATTTCTTAATGAACTTCATTATGTTGTTTCACTTCTTTATCAAGCACTTTGGCAAATCCCTCTCTATGAGTTAGTCTTGCTGCATGAATTATTTTCCTAACTTCTCCAGTGATCCTCAAGAAGCCTTGACAATCACTCAGGGCTTCACTCCATAAATTCTTCCAGCAGGCATTTATAGTTTTTGGGTTTAATTCATCCATCGCATCTTTGGTGATTGTTATTGCATCAGCAATGGTGAATAATTTCCAGCACATTATTATCTCCAGATTAGGGTCTGCATCAATTGCTGATGGAATGTAATCAAACACCAGGCAGTTGTATGTGGTTTGACAAAATGAGTGATGCCATAGTCAAGGTGCTGGCAGGTGCAAAACGAACAACTTTTAAAGTTGTGGGGATAGTTAAGGGAGCCGACAAAAATGGTGAGGCACCCTGGAAGAATCTGTCATTCACTTCTTAGACCAAAGAGTAAACATTTCCTTTTTGGGTAACACTGTATTCCTGCTTGCCTAGCATGCTGAGTCCTTTCAAAGCTGTTATGGAAACCATGTGCTCTGCTTATAATTTCCATAGCAGGTAGTAAAAAAAGAAAAGAAGAGTCAGAAAGAGGAACATAAAGGTGAAAAGGGACCACATCAGGTTGTATAAATTCACAGCAAGTGAAATGATCTTGTTCCGTAATACCTCCAAAGTGACAGTTCTGAGCAAACCTGCTTTATCTGTCAGTTTTGAGCATGTCCACACTTGGATCCATTTAACACATGACCTCCATGTTCTCTCCAACACCCTGACTCCCCCCCACACACACCTATTGTTTCTACTGCTTAATTGGGACTGATCAAGTGTTATGCATTGTTTTTCCAAGTGCACTGCTCACAAAAGCAGTGCATAACACTTAATCAGTATGAATTGTATTACATTTCCTTTGTGGCCTCTTACTGAATTCAGCAGTTGTTTGATAATATTGTTAAATAAGTGAAATATAGATTGATTACAAGAAACCCTGACAAGATAAATATGAAATGATTAGCAGAGCAGAGGAACAAAAATGATATGTATAAATATAAAGCAATGGAGAGAGATTAGCAAAGTCTTGAATGTGACAGTTGAAATAGATGGATTGAATTGAAGGGCTGCAGTGATTACTCCAAATACTTACCTGTGGGCAACAGTAGGACTCAATACATGTTGCTAAAGTTTTAATCAGATATTTAAAGTCATAAAGATGTTATCTTTGAACATAGTAGAAGAAATATGAAAATAATAGAGAAAAGATTGGTTATGAGCTTATTTATATTATGAACTATAATTTTTTCCCAACACTGACATAGCTACATCTCAATAATCCACAGAGATGATGAAGTGTGGATAGTTGAACTTGAACTTTATTTTATTTGGTCCTTTCTACTCCAAAACCTCCACTACTGCCAAGTAAGATAGTAAGGCCATGTGGATGATTAATCTTGGATAATCAACATGAATTATTTTTGATGGCCTTCATAACAATTTTATTGTTTATTCTTTGCCAAGGTAAAACCACAAAAGATTTAAGTGTAGCTGTTCAGATGATGAAAAGGATCCACTCCTTGATGGAAAAATACTCAGAGCTTTTACAAGAAGATGATCGGCAACTCATAGCCAGATGCCTCAAGTATCTGGGATTTGATGAGTTGGCAAGTTCTTTACATCCAACCCAGGTAATATGATCAGAATAGCTCAATTTCAACAGGGTCATTATTAGGTATACATAAAGTGTTTTCCAATATAGTCATCTCTTCCAGATTTTTGCTTTTTTTACAGAAAATAATATTATTAGTAGTAACACAACTGCCCAATCTAGCAAAACATCTTAAAGCTATAGTGTGATTATTCAATTGTCTTTAAATATATCAGCTACAAATATCATGACGTATTTTTTTTTTTTTTTTTTTTTTTTTTTTTTTGAGACGGAGTTTCGCTCTTGTTACCCAGGCTGGAGTGCAATGGCACGATCTCGGCTCACTGCAACCTCCGCCCCCTGGGTTCAGGCAGTTCTCCTGCCTCAGCCTCCTGAGTAGCTGGGATTACAGGCACACGCCACCATGCCCAGCTAATTTTTTTTTTTTGTAATTTTTAGTAGAGACGGGGTTTTACCATGTTGACCAGGATGGTCTCGATCTGTTGACCTCGTGATCCACCATGACGTATTTTTGAAAATTTTTATGTCTACTATTTTTTCATAGTTAATACAATGATTTTAAAAAATTAAGTTTAAAAGGTGGTAAAATGCTTTTCATAGAAGGTGCTCAGTAATAAATGTTTTACTTATTTCAGTGCTATTCTAATTCAATGTCATTTTCAAAATGGACTTTTAAAATAATACAGGATGCAGAAAATGATGTAAAAGCAAAGAAAAGGAATAAGTATTCCGTTGGCATGGGACCAGCTCGGTTCCAGCTGCAATACATGGGCCATTACTTGATACGAGATGAGAGAAAAGATCCGGATCCCAGGGTCCAGGACTTTATTCCCGACACATGGCAGGTAATACTGCAACTGAAATAAAAATTACTGTATTTTGGTGATGTGGAGGAAGACAGCAAACCACACTGCCATGTGTGTACCTGTGAACAATCTTACATGTTCTTCACATGTACACCAAACCCTAAAATTCAATAAAAAATACCAAAAACAAACAAATAAATAAATTAATTAGAAAAGCAAAAAAATTACTGTAGTTTCTTATTATATGTGATCTCAGAGGTTTCTCAGTATTGTGGCTTTACATATTATGTTTGGCATGAACTTTCTAATGTGATTTAAAGATACTTTGTTTTTGAAAATGTCAAATGTGGACAATTTTTCCCCATTTAAAGAAGGTGAGATTTTCTTTTATTATATAGACCATTTCCTTGGAGGTGCATTAATGGATTCATATGTTTAGCTCTGATGGTATCTCAGTCATTCAGCTCTATTATTATGGAGCAGCCTCCAGGTTTTTTCTATGTCAATAGAATTTCATATGTAAATATATAAATGGCATAAAGAAATTTGGATAGTTTAAATAGTAGGCACAGTTGTTTAGATATTTACACATTGCATCTGTCACCATGGTAGGTAGCTATTCTAAAAATGTATATAAAATTAATACTCATGGATATAAAATTTAGAAGAAAAGGATGCATTTCTACATACATTGAACCATACAAACTTGCAGATAAATGGAACATATTAACCTACAACAATGCAATTTTATAACTTCAGTTCTAGTAGACTGTCCCCTTCAGAATCTGACTTTACCTTTCTTAGGATGGTGGAGTATGTTAAAAAGTTCATGCCGGCTTTTCATGAGCAGGAAGACTGGTTCCTTACTTCAGTGCCGGATGGGAGGCAGTAATGCTCTCCATTATTTCCATTCACATTGTGACTCTTCTGATGCCTAATTCCCTCTGAGGTGTGTCCAGGAGTGGACCAGTTTGGGTTTTGAGGTGTTTTCCTACCTTCTGTCTATTATAAAGGCTTAGAACCATTCTTTGGCTAGTCAACATCTTGATGAATGAAAGCATAGACTGCAGGGATGGAGCTCTCTCATGCCTGGCATGCTTCTACATAGAAAGTAGAAGATAAGTAGTAAAATAAAGAATGTTTGATGTTTCTTCTCCTCAGCAATTGTTTTCACCATCAGTCAAATACATAGTGTCTACTTCTTAGAACTTACGTTCTCAACCGCACTTATTAAACAACAAATAATTACAAGACATCTTCTCTATAAGATATTTTGTTCAGACATCCTCTCCATTTTTCAAATATAAAACCCACCTTAGAGATGTTCAGAAGCATAAAATAACATGAGATTTTCAGATTTTCCTATAGATCCTTTGAGGTTCAGAAAATCCTGTTGGAAGTCTATTAATAGATTGTCTTTGTTTTGATGACATGCTGTTCACTTTCTTGACACAATGGTCTGGCCCTGCAGCGAGAGCTCCTTGATGTGGTGGATAAGAATGAGTCAGCAGTGATTGTGGCCCCAACGTCCTCAGGCAAAACCTATGCTTCCTACTACTGCATGGAGAAAGTGCTGAGGGAGAGTGATGACGGGGTGGTCGTGTACGTTGCACCCACAAAGGTAGCTCTCAATATTCTCTTTCATTCCTGAACCTACTCTTTAAGAATAATGAACATGGTCACATGGTAGATCCAGTTCACTTCATTTTATTTATTTATTTATTTATTTATTTTTGAGATGGAGTCTTGCTCTGTTGCCCAGGCTGGGGTGCAGTGGCATGATCTCGGCTCACTGCAACCTCCGGCTCCCCGGTTCAAGCGATTTTCCTGCCTCAGCCTCTGGAGTAGCTGGGACTACAGGCACATGCCACCACACACAGCTATTTTTTTTTTGTATTTTTAGTAGAGATGGGGTTTTACCATGTTGGTCTGGCTGGTCTTGAACTCCTGACCCAGTGATCCATCTGCCTCAGCCTCCCAAATTGCTGGGATTAGATGCGTGAGCCACCGCACCTAGGCCACTTCATTTTTTAATCTACATTTTCTTGTTGTAGTTTCTGAAGCTAAAATAGCATATAAATACATATACATATATATACTTACATATATATACACACACAAAGATATACATAAAATAACATATATGTATTCAAACTTTAGACATCGGGGAAAACCACCAAATATAGGAAGCCTAATTTTTTTCTGATGCATAGGCAACGTTTTCTGTTTTTTCTTCTTCCTTCTGATGAATACTTTTTAAATTTCATTTTACTTTAGATCGAGGTTTATCAGTGGGTTTGTAGGTTGAGTCGACTGTCTCAAAGAGAACATGTTACTGTGTTTAGCGTGATGAGTTGATGAAAGGGGTTACTCAGCTTTCTGCACTGAAGGCGGGACACACTTTTAGATGGTTCTTCTTATCTTCTGAGATTTCAACTCTCCCTATTATGTGACGAATGGATCTGTTTCTTTGTCAATCAGGCCCTTGTTAATCAAGTGGCAGCAACTGTTCAGAATCGTTTTACGAAAAATCTGCCAAGTGGTGAAGCTCTCTGTGGTGTTTTCACCAGGGAATATCGTCATGACGCCTTGAACTGTCAGGTAGGGTATTTTAATTAATAAGTGTGATATCAAATTATATAACTGCACTTATGTGTCTCTTTGACTAGAAATTCAACATCTTCACAAGGCCTTGTGAAAATAGTTTCCTTGAATTTATGAAAGACAAAATACTTTTAGAGAAAATGTAATATTTCAAATAGTGAGAACTAGAACTCATCTTTTTTTAAGGACACTGAACTTTGGATTTCTGATTTCATTTATAGTTTATTGCATCATATTGGTTTATAAATGGATTCAAAATGATCTAAAGAATGATAAGTAATGGGACTGGGCATGGTGGCTCATGCCTGTAATCCCAACACTTTGGGAGGCCGAGGCGGGTAGATCACCTGAAGTCAGGAGATTGAGACCATCCTGGCTAACACAGTTAAATCCTGTCTCTATGAAAAGTACAAAAATTTAGCTGGGTGTGGTGGCACACACCTGTTATCTCAGCTTCTTGGGAGGCTGAGGCAGGAGAATCACTTGAATTTCGGAGGAGGAGGCTGCAGTGAGCCAAGATCACGCCACTGCACTGCAGCCTTGGTGACAGAGTGAGACTCCATCTAAAAAAAAAAAAAAAAAAAAAAAAAAAAAAAAAAAAACAGAAAGAATGCTATGTTATAAAAAATTAACAAACCTCAATTTTTAATCAATTACTTTTTCTTCATAAACGTCTGTTAAGGATACTCATGATTTAGCCAATGTTGAATTAGGGATAGTATACCTGGTGTTAAATTGTAGAAAGTTTTCACCCTTATGAACTCACAGATCAACAATTAAGAGTAAATAAAAGTGAACACATGATTATAGAACATTGCATGGTAGACGTGGAGATGTTCTACCCAGATTGCCTTTCAAAGAAGGGCTTGATGTGTGGAGTGTGGTTAAGATAGATACCAGCTATCAGCTCCCCCAGTTCTACCTTCACAGTCTGTACCCTACAACCGAGCTAAGTAGAGGTATAAACAGTGGACTGAGCAATCCTCACTCCAGAACACCAAGCCAGGTTGGCTGAGGCTCCATCAGGCCTGCCTTACAGCGAGGCTTCTCTTGCTGCTCATTTCTGCTTCCCTGCTCTTTTCGCACTTGTAGATTCTTAATAAAATCTTTCAGTCCAAACTTTATGTCACAGTTAGGTTTTAAGGAACCAAACCTGTGACCATGAATAATTTCTATTTTTAAACTCTGAATGCTCATAAAGAAGAATGTAAACTTCAAGTCTGATTTTCTACCATTTTTTGTCTATCAATATCAGCTTTATATATGGTTCAAATGACGATAGGACAGTTTTGATGAAACCCTGAATTATCAGAAGCAATGTTATATGTGTGGAGTGTGGTTAAGATAGATACCAGCAGATATATTCAGGACTCATAGTCTATCTTATATATTCTTGTAACTATGTTTACACATAGTAACTGCTCAAAATGTTATTTCACACAATATTATTTTTGTAGGTACTTATTACGGTGCCTGCCTGCTTTGAAATTCTGCTGCTTGCTCCTCATCGCCAAAACTGGGTGAAAAAAATCAGATATGTTATATTTGATGAGGTAGGTTTGGTGTTATTTCTCTGCTTAATTTCCTTGTGTGCATATGCATAGTAATAAATATATTTGGTGATTCAGGACATCTGTCCCCTTGGATAGAGTTCAGATTGAGAAGGCCCCCTTTTTTCCCCCTGAGTGTTTTTTTCTAGGAATTACAGTTTTTCACTCTCTTTTCCTGTTGTGACTCAATAGGATATAATGGTACATCCTGCAGAGTTCTCTAAGGGAGAGGAAACTTTCATTGACAACTATTTCAGAGGAAGTAGAATTCAACCATCCTGGCCAAGTTTCCTAGGACAGAGATTTCAATCCAGTCTTTTACCTCTAAAGTGGAGAGCTTATAGCTTGCAGCGAACGCCAAGAACGATGTACTCAGACAGTTCCAGCTGAGCTGGAACTCTTCCAAGAGTGTCCACCCCAGCATTGGTCAACCAAGTATTTGTGAAAGGGCTTGTGTTAACTAAACATTCACTAGATGGTCATTTGAGGTGGGTTGCTGAGGCACCTGTGACCTTGTACACACTCAAACAGCATTTTCAGGAGGCTGTTTTCAGCGTTCGTTATCACACCACATCCTCCACTCCTTGGCCTATTTTCAGGATCAAGGAGTTTCATTCCCATGTACATATAACACACACACAGTGCCTGAATATTTTTCCTTGCCCGACCTCAAATGCCTTGTACATAAGCTTGAATATGTTGCCTTGAGCTCCCACAGAAAGCAAGTAATTTTTGGCTCTAATGGTGATGTCAATTACATAAGTTATTTATCAGTCATGATCCCAACAGATATTAAATGACACCCTTGAAATACAGTAATTCAAGAAGGGCATTTCTTTCAAAAGGGTGTGTGAGGGAATCCATAAGGGTTAGTGAGTAATCTAGAGCTAGTAGTTTACCTCTAGGCGTGGAAGCATTAAGAAAAGGCAAAAGGAGATTCCAATTGAGTTGGCCATAGCTGACTGAGTGAGGAACATAGGTGATTCAAGGCTGCTTTGCAGGAAAGAAGCCAATGGTACAATGACCTCAACCTCATTCTCTCCACTTCTAATCTCTGGCAAATGACCTCCATGAGCCAAACCCAGTGGAACCAGAAGTTATAAGAGCCCTTTTGAGGAAGTGCCTATAGATCAGTTTCCCTGGGAAGAGAGAACAAAATGAAAAGCAATGTAGATTTATAGCAATGTATCGGGACAAAGGAAAGATACTTAGCAAAGTTAAATTGCAGCATTAGTAAGAATATCTATTGGTCATGGGCAGTGGCTCGCACCTTTAATCCTAGCACTTTGGGAGGCCAAGGCAGGTGGATTGCCTGAGGTCAGGAGCTCAAGACCAGCCTGGCCAACATGGTGAAACCCCATCTCTGCTAAAAATACAACAATTAGCAGGGCATGGTGGCGGGTGCCGATAATCCCAGCTACTCGGGTGGCTGAGGCAGGAGAATCGCTTGAACCTGGGAGGCAGAGGTTTCAATGAGCTAAGATCATGCCACTGCACTCGGCCTGAGTAACAACAGCAAAGCTCCGTCTCAGAAAAAAAAAAAAAGAAAGAAAAAGGAAAGAAAAAAGGAATATTTATTAAAAGAGATTTAAAACACTGTAGAAAGATATATTATCTGACTCCATGGAATTTTCCATTCAAAGGGGAAAAGGTTAACAAATCTCTGTAACTTACCTTTTCATTGCTGTAAACTTGGAGCTACCAAATAGGCTGTGCTTTGGATTTGTTTGATGCTGATTTATTATATTTATTTATAGTTTATCTCATATTGCATCATGAAGGCCTTGAATATTCTTGTTTTAAAAAATCCAACAACTTTGTATATGCAGTCTAGAACTTTGATTAAAATCTCATCTCAAAACTCGGAAGTAATATGACTTCGGGTATTTCAGCTTTTCCAATTTTATATGAGGAATAAAACAGAAAGGTCTTAAAGGTTAACATCTATTCTGGCAGAATCAGGGAAAAGTACTGTCTAGTGCAAAGCGTAAGGTCAATGTTTGATGGAGTGGTATTTTATATGACTAGGACAAGCCCACATGGGCAGTGGGGATGCATGTTCTAAATAGATATATAATTTGGCTCTGATAGTAAGTCTTTTTCAGTTGATTGCCAGGCATCATAATTTAATCTGTTTAACGAAGACCACATTTGAGACTCTTTTCTGAATCTGGTTTGATTTGCTCATCCATTCATTTACTTGGCAGATATTGAAGGAGTGCTTCCTCGGGGCAAGGCTTTGTGTCAGTGGCTAGGAATAGAATCTTCAGGTCTAAGGTTACAGTTTACTTAATACCTTCTCTATTAGACACTGGAGCTGACAGCAGTTTACTCAAGAAAGAGGAAATAAACAAGTGAGCTCAAGGATGATGGTGCCAGCCCACGTTGGTGCAAACCGGGAAGGGAGAGAGCAGGTTGTTGAGACTGCAGTCATGGTAGGGTGGTGGGTGGAGGCAACGGTGGAAGAAAAGTCTTTTTTTTTTTTTTTTTGAGATGGAATCTTGCTCTGTCACCCAGGCTGGAGCACAGTGGTGCGATCTCAGCTCACTGCAACCTCCACCTCCCAGGTTCAAGCAATTCTCCTGCCTCAGCCTCCCAGGTAGCTGGGACTACAGGTGCACACCATCACACCCAGCTAATTTTTTGTAATTTTAGTAGAGACAGGGTTTCACCATGTTGGTCAGGATGGTCTCGGTTTCCTGACTTCACGAGCCACCTGACTCAGCCTCCCAAAGTGCTGGGATTACAGGCATAAGCCACAGTACCTGACCCAGAAAAGTCTTTTTTATGGAGTGCCATTGAGCTGAAACGTACAGTTTGAATAAGAGAGGGTAAGATTATTGTAAGCAGAGGGAACAATAAATGGAAAAGCTCTTAGGTAGGAACGGTGTATTCAAGGAACAAAAGAAAAGGTAATTCTTTCTGGACTGCAGTAAAGGTGGAGATAGTGGTTTGAGATAAAGCTAGAGAGGCAGCAGTAGCCAGATGATGCTAGCTATTAAACATCCCATTAAGGAGTTTATAATTTATTCCACATGCAAAGGGAAGATAGTAAAGCAATTTATTTGGTGACATGACTTGATATAATTTTTCTTTTGGCTGTGATGTGTAGAATTTAAAGGCGAGTAGGGACGCTAGTATAGTAGCTGAAGTAGCTCTATATGTGAATGTCACATTCACATATAGATGCTGAATGTGACAGTAGCTTGGCTGGTGGTAGACATGAAGAGAAATCCATTGATTTGAGACACATTTTTGAAAGCAAAGTAAAGCAGAATTGTTGGAGAATTGGTTGTGGGGATTTTTAATATTTCTTTAATATGTCTTTAAATTCAGTCACTTAAAGGCAATGGGAAGGCATGTGTGAGAATTTCAAGATTCCGTGTCTTACTTTCAGTTGCTCCTTTAAATCAGCTTTTGAGTCGAGAATTTTTTTTTTTCTTCAATAGGTTCATTGTCTTGGTGGAGAAATTGGAGCAGAAATCTGGGAGCATCTCCTAGTTATGATCCGATGTCCCTTTTTGGCCCTTTCAGCTACCATAAGTAATCCCGAACATCTCACCGAGTAGGCATTATGTTCCAACTTGGATAGAGTGTTGATCTGTTTTAATGTTTGAATTTCATAATTTCTCTCTGGGTTCTGAAGAGCTTCATAATTTTCTGGTGAATTTAATAGTTTATTTCTGGATCTTCAAGAACCTGCACCTCTCTACACCTCCTGGCCACTGCTGAGGAAAATCAAGTACTTTCCCACCGAGATCTGCAACTGAGTAGGAAATTTCCCCCATCCCAAAAATGGTTCATCAGAAAAGATATATTTATGTTCCTTTTTTGTTCTTCACCAAGAAATAAAAAATAAAATGCTATAATAACACCCTCAGGCATGGGTCCTGTGATCCATTTTCCTAGTTTGTAGAGATGCTTAGAAAGATAGCAAATCCTTATTAGTTGAAAGCACCATATCATGTTGCCATTGGGCTTGATTTTTGCCTACTAAAAACCATTTTTTTTTACTTTATAATAATATGTATTTACTAATAATGATCATATAACACCTCCTGCATGCCTAGTACTATTCTAAGTACTTTACATGTATTAATTCATTTTAAATACCCAGCAACCCTTATGATTTATGCTTACTTCCATTATTACTATTACATAGTCACACTTACAATATCACTACCATATTTCCATTTTGAAATGTGAAAAACTAGGAACAGAAAGAAGAAGTTATTCAATCAAGAGACACAGCAATTAGTAAGAAGGCTGGGATTTAAATTCAGGTAGTCTGGCTTCTGAGTCTATTCCTCTAAGTACAATTTATAAGGAACATGAAATTTTCTTTCTTAAACTACTCAATTCACAGTAAGTAGTTCCATGTTCTGCTAAATAATATGTACATCTGTATTTTTTAAGGTGGCTACAATCAGTAAAATGGTACTGGAAAGAAGAAGATAAAATAATTGAAAATACTGTTACTTCTAAGAGACATGTGGGTCGTCATCCCGGTTTTCCCAAAGACCACGTGCAAGTAAAACAATCATATAAAGTTAGACTTGGTAGGTTTGATATATTTATATAAAGTTTGCCTTTTGCTTTTTATTTTTATTTTTAAATCCACCATTATCCATCTTAATTTAAATGTATTTCATTCATTATATTTCCATCGATGTGGAAATTCTTGCTCTTCATTTTTAGTGCTCTATGGAGAGAGATACAATGATCTAGAGAAGCATGTATGCTCAATACAAGGCGATGACATTCATTTTGATCATTTCCACCCATGTGCTGCATTAACAACGGACCATGTAAGTAATATTTTGGCCATATTTGTTCTGAGTCATTTAAAATACTTGTCTATATTATAAACAAAAGCTGCCTAATTGATACTTATCAGAGTGATAGAACTACAGAATGACAGAAACTGATACTTTAACCTTGACTTTAAAAATAACAAGAACATTCTTTCTAATTTTAATTGTCTGAATAATGATTAAAAACTACTACAGATTTAACCTGAAGGTTTTGCTATTTTTACTTATCCTTGGAGGTTATCTTCGCCAGTTTCTCTTCTTAACACCCATGTGTCTGTCTACATCTCTGACACTAGTTCTTCCCTCAGTGCAGCCATACAGTTTTTTGTGGACAATCCCTACTATATATGATGTTCTCCCTAACATAGCAATCATGACATGACTTTTGGGTGATGAGCCAGTAAGGTGGGGACCTTAAGAAAATTTCAGGTGGGGGGCTGGGTGCAGTGGCTCACACCTGTCATCCCAGCACTTTGGAAGGCCGAGACAGGCAGATCACAGGTGAGGAGTTTGAGACCAGCCTGACCAGCATGATGAAACCCCATCTCTACTAAAAATACAAAAAAATTAGCTGGGCATGGTGGCGGGCCCCTGCAGTCCCAGCTACTCCGGATGCTGAGGCAGGATAATCGCTTAAAACTGGGAGGCGCAGATTGCAGTGAGCTGAGCTAGAGCCATTGCCCTCCAGCTGGGGCAACGGAACGAGACCCCATCTCAAAAAAAAAAGAAAGATGTCAGCTGGTACACTGGGGTGTGAGTGGGGAAAGATTTTTTAATTTTTCTTGCATGTATCTCTTCCTCTCTTATGCTATTTTTCTTCCTCTCTCATCCTATTCTCATAAATGACCCATTTAAATAAGCTTCCTGTGGCTTTCAAAGTGATGATTAGTTAGTAGCTTTGACTTCCTGCTAAAACCTGAAAATTTAAATATATTCTATATTCTGTCATGTGAAACATAACAGACCATTCATCATAAGAGTGCTGTGATGATTAAAGGAGATTATGTAAAGTTTTTAGAGCACAAACGTAAACATAATTTGACATGAATATAATGATCTATAACTCTCAACTTTCCTTAAAGATCATTTTGATCTTTCCAAGTCTTTACTGGCCTTCTTTTGGAAAAAGCTAAATGTATACATAGCTCCTTAGCTTGACAGCAAAGGTCTTCTATGACCTGGTCCCAGTGTCCTTTCATTCATCCACTGGGGTATCTTACCTGGCAGCCCTCATGCTGTACATTGCTCTTGGAATATTTCAACCCAGATGCCAAATACCAGCTATTCAGATCCTGTTCATCTTCCGTAATTCTCCTAAGGTGAAACCTTTTCAGAATTCTTTTCTGACTATCTTAGCTAGATGTAATCTTTCTTCTCTTTATAATACCTTGTCTGTGTATCTAACACAACACCAGTCCTGATGAGCTTACGGCTTAAGTTGTTTATATGCATATATTCCTTACTGGCTAGAATAACTCTTTGAAGACAAATTTTATGTCTTTCAGTTCCCAAAAAACTGCTATGTGTATAAAAGTTACTTACTAAGTGTATGTTAAATAAGAACAGCCAACTTAAATTGAGCACTTACTTTGTGTTCTAAAAGTTCTACATTTTTACACCTTTTTTAGCCATGACAGCAATCTTACGATAGATGTCTTAACTCTATTCCCACTTTACAATGAGGAAGATGAGGCATAGAGAACTTAACTGACTCAATGTTGCATCAGTAAGTAAATGGTGGTGCCAGGATGTAACCTCAAACAGGCTGGCTTCTAAAAGCAAGCTGATTGGTAGTAGTTTTCTAATAGGATTTTGTTATGGAAACTTCTCTTATGTGACAATGGCCCAATCCAAATTCTAAATAAACTTAAAATATGAACAAAATTCCTGTGACCTAACTCATACCTGAAACCTAGATTGTGGATGATAACCCACATATGGGAATAAAAGTCACCTTATTCTCTCTTTTTTCTTTTCCTCCCCCTCCCTCCCTCCCTCCCTTCCTTCCCTCCTTCCCTCCATCCCCCCTCCCTCCCTTCCTGCCTTCCCTCCTTCCCTCCTTCTTTCCTTCCTTCCTTCCTTTCCTCCTTCCTTCCTTCCTTCCTTTCTTCCTTCCTTCTCTCCTTCCCTCTTTCCCTCCTTTCTTCCCTCCTTCCTTCCCTCCTTCCCTCCCTTCTTTCCTGTCTGATATCCAGGAGTTATCTGACATTTTCATCATTATGTGGCATTTTAAAAATAACATAGCATTAAAAATTATTCTGTGTAGGATGGGTCAAGGCAGGTTATCTTTAAACAGCAGTGAGTGTAGTGGTTTGGAGTACCTGCTGAAATTGTCATTTTGGTCCAAATGCCTTTCCTCTATTTTCAGTAGCTATTAATGGAATAACTGGAAAGCAATAGAACCGCTACAGTGTGCTCTGACCCCAGATGACTTCTGCAAAGGTCATGCTGTTGTATGAGTCTTCATAAGATGTCTAGACTTTTGTGGCAGGAGCGCAGGATGAACACAAAGGCTTAGGTATTAGTGAGTCCATTTTGACAGCTTTGTGTATAGCATGTGTTTATATCAGACATATCCTAAAGTAGCAGTGATAAAAACCAAGGAGACCTTTCAACTGAATAAATAATTCCTGGTCTTATGTAGTACATTTCAGATTAATATGAAAAAGGGAGTGGCAAGGAAAAACATAATAAATTGTGGCAACGTAAGAAGGGCCATCGATCTGGGTCCTTTCCTGTACAGTTTTAGTGTAAAAATGATTTCAGGAGTGGGGCAGGGTGAGTGAACCTGTCTGAATACAACCATGGTGAGGAATCGCCTTCGATCAACATATGCTGGTTTCTGGCTAAGAACAGTATCCTTTGGCCTTTGCCCCGATCTCCATGCCACACAGCAACAGCTGCCGGCTCCTGGAGAGTTATCAGTCCTAGGAGGTCCTTGAAAGAACGGCTATCTATTTCTGCTAAGCATAGATCAGTGCTTACCATCACCTGTGACACAGGGACAATGTTTACAAAAACAGCATCATGGTATAATACTACTGTGTTTATAAACAAAGAATGGTACAAATCTATGACCTTTTTCTTTTTTGAGATGGAGTCTTGCCCTGTCACCCAGGCTGGAGTGCAGTGGCACAATCACAGCTCACTGCAACCTCCGTCTCCTGGGGTCAAGCAGTTCTCTGCCTCAGCTTCCCAAGTAGCTGCGATTACAGGTACTCGCCACTAGGCCCACTACTAATTTTTGTATTTTTAGCAGAGATGGGGTTTCACCATCTTGGCCAGGCTGGTGTTGAACTTCTGACCTTATGCTCCACCTGCCTCGGCCTCCCAAAGTGCTGGTATTACAGGTGTGAGCCACCACGCCCTGCCATCTATGACTTTTTATTTCTCTTCTTTCTCTGCCTAGGCTGGTTCAATGTTTGCAGGTTCACTAGTCACCATGTAGTGGAGAACTGCTGAATTGAATCCTTGGCATTTAGGCATAGGACTGCTAAACTGATTTTAAAAATTGAGACCTATAAGGGATAATCAATCATATTGGTGGCTGTGGCATTAATCATACGCCAGGCATTTTACTAGGTCTGTTACATATGTTATCTAATATAATTCTCCTGAAAAATCTATGTCACAGGCAGAATTATCCTTCATTTTAGAAATGAGGAAATTCGGACCTCTCTAAAAGGCTAAGAGACTTAAGAAATCATAAGCATTCCAGCAACCAAAAACAGAAGATTTATATTTTAAAATTATAATAGATCTTGTACTTATTGTATATTTTTATTTTCATTAAGTGGAATAAGTTATACCTAATAAGAGAGCAAGGCACCAACATTGCAAAATAATACGTGTTTTGTTCTATTTAGTACGTTGGCGCAATGCAGTCCTTAGCATTTAACTATCTTTCAGTGCCCCAACTGAGATGTTAAATGATGATTCCAGGAATTGTTTTACATTCTACAGTGTTAAAGATTTGAAGAACATATGGTGATATGTTAATTTTGTTTGCTCTCACTGCAGTCTTTAAGGTGGAAGTGTAAATATTGTATTTTCATTCCCATCTTGTGATGAGGAACTAGTGTTTACAGATGCGATTAGAACCAGATCTTCTGATTCAAACTCTTGTGCCCTTTCCGTGCTACCAAATGTCATCTCCATGTTTCTTCAACTGTGTTGTGTTTGGAGTGGCTTTTTTAGACCTGAATTTTAAAACCCGAATTTTAAAATCTTTTAATAGCTATTTACTAAAACAAGTGCAGTACTGTCAAATTACTTTGGATAAATTTGCATACTATATTTACTTCTTTGAGATTTAACGTTTCCAGTGAGAAATCTCAAAGCATCCTATTTGATGCAATATGTATCATTTCTCCTGATCTTTTCTTTTTTGAAGCATACTGTCTTAGCACATTCAACAGGCTGCTATAATAAAATTTTACAAATTGAGAGGCTTCAGAAACAAATACTGCTTTTTCAGAATTCGGGAGGGAAGTCCAAGGTCAAGGTGCTGGGAGGTTTGGTGTCTGTGAAGGCCTACTTTCTGGATCATAGATAGCTGACTTCTTCCTGTGTCCTCACATGGCAGAAGGGACAGGGCAGATCTTGCAGTCTCTTTTACAACAGCATTAATCCCATTCATGGGGGTTCCTTCTTCACGACCTAATCATCTCCCAAAGGATTTGCCTCCAGATACCATCCCACTGGGGATTTGGTTTTAACATACAAGTTTTGGGAGCAGACATTCAGTCTGTATTACACTCCTGTTAACATCTCAGAGAGTATGTTTTTGCATGCAAATGATTTTTAACTGTAGTGATTGGAAGCAGTAGGAAATACTACAACGAACCTTTTGGAGAACAGGAATTTTTTATTTCCACTTAAAAACACTTGTGGAAAAAATGAATGGCATACTTTATTCAGAAGACTTAAAGCAGACCCGTCAGTGACCTTTGGGAGAAGTTTCTTGGAGTCTTGAAGGTGGTTTGAGAACCTTTATCTTGAAGTTGACCCAGTTCTTACCTTGTAACTCAAGCAAATAAGACTTTCTCTTTTTAGCCTGGCTTGGTATACATAAAAGTAAAGAATCACATTCTTAATCACATCACTTTTGGTGTTAGCTGTAAAGTAGAGGTTATGTCTTATCCAAACTGAGTCCCCAAATCCTTCAGCTTCCCAGTGCTCTGATTTTGATCATGAAGACAGTTCATATAAAATTAGCACAATGAAAAGATCTGAGGAAGTAATATTAAAATTTTTTGGTGGGATTTTGGATTTTTTTCCACTTTGGTGATTCAAAGACACTTGTAGGTAGTATAAATGTTGGCATTTAGCACCTATCACACTTCAACATTTTAGTTTAATGCCTTTCAGTGTCTTTGGGTTGACAGTGACTAAGAGTTAAAGGATAAAACATAAAATAAAATAAATAGTAAAAATTTTAACTTTATTTTAAACAGATTGAAAGGCATGGATTTCCTCCTGATCTTTCCCTTTCACCTCGAGAAAGCATCCAGTTATATGACACCATGTTTCAAATTTGGGAAAGTTGGCCTAGGGCCCAGGTAAATAATAATGATGTAATTAACGCAATTATAGACGATGATAACCCTGCTGTTTAGAAAAACAAACTCTCACCCTTTCTAATCACTTGCATCTCCTCTTTTAAAATTATTAGTCCTAAATAAGATTCCTAAAATAAGATTGCCTCTTCTCATATTTCTAACATTTTCTCTTTGCTTTTTAATGGGTTTTAATTTGTATTTTATTTTGATTCCTGAAAATATTGCTTCTTTTTTTTTTTGAAATATTTTCAACTTCTGGAACACTACTATATTTCTGTCTTCTTACACCTTGGATTTATATTTTCTGTTTATTATTAAGCTTGCTTCCCTTCTAAGTCTCAATTGCTGTTTGTTTTCGTCTTCTGCTTTTTCCTTGTATCCTTTCTTTTGAAGAGTTCATTATTCTTTAGAAGCCATGGGGAGATAAAAAGTTTAACCATCCCTCTGCTGGAGAAACCTGTAATGATGCTAATGAGTCATATAATCAAGAAATACCTTTGAATTTTCTTGCATGATTGTACTTAATTTTGTAATATTTGTTTTTAAGGAACTGTGTCCCGAAAACTTTATTCATTTTAACAGTAAATTAGTCATTAAAAAGATGGATGCTAGAAAATATGAAGAGAGTCTAAAGGCAGAATTAACAAGTTGGATTAAAAATGGCAACATAGAGGAGGTAACTTTCACACATTTTTGGCCAAATTATATTTTTATTGTTTTCTTGAGTTATATCATTCCATTAATATCATTTTGTGATTTTTTTAATCCTCAATTTTTATTTTAGAATTTTACTTTGAACATGAAATCTAGTGATTTTGAAATAGAATAAAAGAAAGTAAATTGGTCTGTCTTATCCTCAGTGTCTTCTGAACCATGTGCCAGAGGCTACTGGTTGCTTCTAAATGGTTTAACAGATAAGAACAAAAGGTTCACTCTCTGTAGAGATGATCTTGTTGACACCTTGGCAGCAGAGACATTGAACTCACAGTAACAGCCTCTGAGAAGAATGTTTTACTCCTCTTTCTTTATTGACTTGGAGAATTTATTGTTCTTTTCATATTGTTACTTCAAGTTTTAGGAACTATTTGTGTATTAAAACTTTACCTGGAATTATATAAGTTATGCATATTTGTTTTAATAATTTGATGGTCTTCATATTTTGAAATTTGATTTATTGGCATAGATTGAGAAATTTTTTTTCCACTAGCCCTTAATCTCTTCCCATTCAGAAACATAATATAGTTGATTTACATTTTCTTCTAGCTAATTGGTTAGTTACAAATCTTGGAGATATATTTGGATGTGATTTTTCTACATAATGTAGAAAGTGATTCACACTTGCTCTCCTGTTAAAGTGAAACCAGTATCATTTTCTGAAAAATCTTTCTATTCTTGATTTGTATTGCCTGAAAAATTGCAGGCTAAATTGCGCATGTGTGTGTATATTACTGCCAAATTTTTTTTTTCTAGTGTATTGATTTGTGTGTTTCTTTGATGGTTCTTTGCAGAGTTTTATAATGTGATTTCATAGGACTATTTTTAAAAAACATACATTAGACAGCTATGAAAATATTTTAGCAAAAAGTAGTAATTTCCTTCTTTCTTTCTTATGCAGAACTTAAAATTGTTTTGTATTCATTGCTACAGGCCAGAATGGTACTTAAGACTCTTAGTCCTAAAGCAGATTTTAGTCCAGAAAACATGATCACAATGTTTCCACTTCTAGTTGAAAAACTAAGGAAAATGGAGAAGTTGCCTGCACTATTTTTTTTGTAAGTTATTTAATTTAATTTGGTTTTGCTTGTAATTGTATTAGACTCATTCCTTTAAGGCAAGGGTCCCCAGCCTCCGGGCTACAGAGCAGTAACGGCCCAGTCCATGGCGTGTTAGGAACTGGGCCACAGAGCAGGAGGTGAGTCGTTGGTCATCCAGCATTACTGCCTGAACCCTGCCTCCTGTCAGGTCAGTGCTGGGGTTAGATTCTCCTAGGTTGCAAACTCTATTGTGAACTGCACATGTGAGGGGTCTAGGTTGCATGCTCCTTATGAGAATCTAACTAATGCCTGGTGATCTGATGGAGAGTTTCATCCCCAAACCATCCCCCCAATTCTTGTGCAGCTCCCTCCCCTGCCACCCACAGCCAAACTGTCTTCTGTGAAATCAGTCCTTGGTGCCAAAAAGGTGGGGGACCGCTGCTTTAAAATGAGGGAGTTATACAAACTTTCCTATCATAGTACAGTATTTATCATTACTATTTCTGGGGCCCACTGGTTATTTGAATACATATGTTTTGTTTAAAAATACAAGTTTCTAGTTCAATTCTTGTATTTGTATTTGTGCTATTATGAATTACCTTCTTTATTTAGTTTGCTACTCTATCTTTTGTATTCTTTCTACTGTAAACTATTAGTTTTTATTTAATCTTGTTAATTTTCAGTATATACCTAGGTTCTTCGGAAAACTCATTGAACTACATGTTCAATGCACCTGTTCAATGCACACATTCAATGCATACAAGTATCCCACATACAGTTAAACTATCCTCACAATACACTACTTATTAAAAGTTTATTTTATTATATTTAATTTATAGTAATGAGAACTGTGATCCAGATACACTGACATCTTGCTAAATTTTATATATTGTATAATATAGCTTAAAATTGAACAAAATAGTGCAGTTTCAATAATGTGACATCAAAGTATAATTTATTAAATGGACAACATATTAGATACTGGATTAAACTTGATAACATAGTTTGGGACTACAGCACAACACTATTAAATTTGGATAATTTCAAACTACATGTAAGCCATTGATGCTGAAGTAAATAAATCCAAAGTCTTGCTAAGAATGAATCACTGGTGATATATTCCTAAAATAATGATGATGGGAGAACGTAAGACTGTGTTTGGAAATTTGGGGAATGGCAATAATATTACTCCTTTTATCTTCATTGTTGGGATAAGGAAAATAAATTTCTGAACTGCCAAGGATTTACAAAGCTCACCTACTTCTCTTTCAAGTGTGGCTATAGATTGTAATTAGAAACAAAAATAATTCTGTACCTCTGGGATATTTCTGAAATATAACTGTTTGTAAAACAGAAACTGAAAAATAGCTGTTTATTATTCATACATATGTACACATATAGAGGAGGCAAAATTTTACCTGTACCATCTTAGGATTTTTTTTTTTGGCCCTGAGAATTAAATTGATATAAGACAAATCAATGGAAAAGCATGCACATACACGTAATATGTTTTATATGGTGCAGAAGGCTCCAAAAGGAGATGAAGACACAAAGATGGAGTTAGAGTTGAACACTTGCATGGCGAATTGGACAAAAAGTAGTACATTGTGAAAACATCACGAGGTAAAAGGGCTTGAGCTAGGGTAAGGGTAATTTAGGTGAAGATGTGACTAGGAGATAAGAGTTAGTTTAACAAGGTTTGTTAGTATAGATTTTCCTTGGCTTCAACTTCCCATCTTTGAAGATAGGAATGTTACTCTACCACTAAAAAAAACATTTTACGTGGTCATTTAATCTGCTACTTTTAAGAAAAAGAAAGAAGATCAGCATGATCTTGAACCTGCTGTTTTTCTGCGTGCTTTCAACTCAAAATAGCGAATATGCCAGCGTGGTATATTTTGGGAGTAGCATGTACCAAAGTCTGTCACATACTTAAAATATTTTAAAACTAAAATATTTCACAAAAACATCAAAAGTTTAATCCTATTTGAAGAATCGAAGCTTGGCATCTTTATAGGACTCTTGGATTCTCTGCAAAATAAACTGGGAACAGCCTTGGCCTTACCCAATTTGATTTAGTGCTAAGTAGCCCCAGATCATCAAGAGAGCTGAGGATTTGTCTGGGCTCAAGTTTTACCGCTAGGAATTTTTCAAATAGTAGTGTACCCTTCATTCTTCTGCAGTCTAGTCTCTGGAAAAAAAAATACATGGAGCATATTCAGTGTTTGATGACAATAGCAGTGTGTGCTTACGGCACACATCTCATGGCCAGGCCCAAGCTTGGATCCCACCTCTGCCCCTGTGAGCTGTGTTATTTCTGGAAAGGTACTTAATGACTTTGAGCCTTAATTTCCTTATTTGCAAAATGAGATGATCAAAATAATAATACACAGAACTGGAGTGAGAATTAAATAAAAATAAGTTATGAGAGCACTTAGCTCATTGTTACAAAAATGTTATTAATAAGGTACAAATCTCTAGGTCACATTGATTCTTGTGAAAGTTGCAGATAGCAGGATGATCACTTTTTTTTTTTTTAATTTTTTATTGGATTATAGGTTTTGGGGTACATGAGCAGAGCATGCAAGACAGTTGCGTAGGTACACACATGGCAGTGTGCTTTGCTTGTCTTCTCCCCTTCACCCACATTTGGCATTTCTCCCCAGGCTATCCCTCCCCACCTCCCCCTCCCACTGGCCCTCCCCTTTTCCCCCCAATAGACCCCAGTGTTTAGTACTCCCCTTTCTGTGTCCATGTGTTCTCATTTTTGGATGATCACTTTTTGTCAGATCCGAACAGACTAGAGCTGAGAGAGCCTGAAGGCAGAGTATTCAGACTTGCATGGCTGAGATAAAGTCCTGTCTCAAGGAGTTTCTAAAATCATCCCACAGGCAGTTCTTTCTTTAGGACTGCAGCAATTCAGATAAGATGCCCTTGAAAGAACACCCAGCAATGGCGTCTCCACTGATAAATGGTTGCCAGCTCTAGTTTTGCGTCTCTAAAACCAATAAACTGTGTTTCTAAGCAGCTTATATGAACCTCTCCTTTTGCCAATATGAGCTTCCTTTTATCCTCCTCAAATACTCCTGTACCTCTGGGATAGTTCTAAAAGCCTCACTGCAAAACAGACACTGAAAAATAGCTATTTATTCATACCTTCATACAAATATAGGGGAGGCAAAATTTTACGTCTACCACCTTGGGATTTTTTACTTGGACTTGAGAATTATATTTATATAAGACAAATCAATAGAAAAGCATGCACATATATGTAATATGTTTTATATGGTGCAGAAGGCTCAAGCAGTTCTCCTGCCTCAGCCTCCTGGGCTGGGATTACAGATATCCCTTCAGATACATAAGTGGTTTGTGAAAGTTGTGCATCTTGGGTTATAATTCTCATTTCTAATTCCAAATCTAGTCAACATACTTGAAGATATATTTTTCTTTGATTTTGTTTTGGTTGACATAATAAGTAGGTTATTGGAGAGATTTAAGAAGCAACATTATTTTTAAGTGATCTCTGAACATTATTTCTAAGAGTTTTTGAAAAAATGAGGTACTGTGATAAAAGTGACAACATTTTAAAAAGTAATATATTCCTAGGCCCCAGTAACTTGCATTAATGTAAGAAGAGAATCAACATATGTCAGTTAAAAAGGGGAGTTGAGGACAGAGGCTTGCAGGCCAGACTCTGCCACAGATAAGCTGTGGGCTCTTGAGCAGATCACTTAATCTTTTTATGTCTCAATTTTTTCATCTGGAAAATAAGGATAATACTAGAGATAGTAATAGTGCCTACTACATAGGGTCATTGTGAGTACTAAATGAGTTAATCTACTAAAGTCACTGAGAATAATGCTTGACAACTGTGTATAATTTTTTTTTAATTCCAAGTGGGGACGGAGTTTCACTCCATCACCCAGGCTGGAGTGCAGGGGCGCTATCTCAGCTCACTGCAACCTCCACTTCCAGGGTTCAAGTAATTCTCCTGCTGCAGCCTCCCAAGCTGGGATTACAGGCATGGACCACCACATCCGGCTAATTTTTGTATTCTGTTTCACCATGTTGGCCAGGCTGGTCTCCAATTCCTGACTTCAGGTCATCTGCCTGCCTCGACCTCCCACAGTGCTAGGATTATAGGTGTGAGCCACCTGAGCCTGGCCAACTGTGCATAATATAAATAGTTTCTGTTATTATTATTTTATTGTCTACTCTCTGAAATTTCTTGCCATGTAGCATACACTGTCACTTTTAAAATTCTTACTTCACCAGTGTGCCAGTTTATTTACTTGCACACTAGCTAAACACATTTCCTTTTAATGATAGCCCTGTAAAGACTTTAGAAAGGCCCTATGCTTCACAACATAGACTTAAAAAACTTTATTGTACAAACCAAACCTTTGACTTGCTATAATAAGCTATGGTTAATATAGTGACAATCATTACTGGCTACTTGCAGCCACAGTATTTTGCCACCCAGGTGCCATGGGGAAGTAAGACCTCCCTGGGCTTCTCGGTGCTCAGGTAAAAAGCCCTAGCTTCCTGACACAGGAAATTCATGTGAAATAAACATAGGAAATGTTTGCCTTTACTCCTCTAGAAACAGTTTACTCTTCATATAGCACGATAATTTGATCTGTAGCCATTTGTCTATAAATGTCTGTAGCAATTTGTAGCTAACGGCTCAGCTCTGAGTACCAGCTGAGTACAAGCTGAGTACAAGCTAGACCAGGTTGCTGGGTGAAGCCCCAAGGTACCAGGAAGTATGGGTCACTGCATTCCTAGGTATTTACATTTCGATGGTATAAAGCCCAGACCTGGAGACATTTCTGCATTGCAAAGTTCAGCAACACCTATGTTTATTCTTTTGGAAAGAATCATGGGTTCTTACCCTCTACTAAAAGAACACTTTTTTGTAGATTAATCTTTTTTTCATTTTTGCAGAAGGGTGGTGATGGGGATAGCTATCTTTCTTCTCTATGAAAATGGGGGAAAGGCCGTTGTTCTCTGTTCCTTGGTTATGGAATATTTGACTACTCTTAGAGAAAACATTTCCATGAGTTCTCATTACATTGTCCCAGGAATAATGTCTGTTGTGGGGGTAGGGGAGGAGGGACAGGCAACATTATTTACCATGAAGTTAATAAGGAGTCTGCTGATTCAGAAATCCTGGTGGCGACATTCTGGGTAACATTTTAAAGGTGGGTATTAAAAACCCAACAGGCAAATGTCGGGATGATAGCAGTAGATGGAAATATGAGTTTTTGAATTGTATTTATCATGTTATTTTCAAGATGCATGTTTTTTTGATTTCCAGATTCAAGTTAGGAGCTGTAGAAAACACAGCTAAAAGTGTGAGTGCTTTTCTGGAGGAAAAGCAGGAGAAGAAAAGGCCTCCTAAAGCTGATAAAGAAGCCCATGTCATGGCTAACAAACTTCGAAAAGTTAAAAAATCCATAGAGAAACAAAAGATCATGTAAGTAGTTAACTAAAGAAATTGATAAGTAGAGGGTTAAAATATTCCCCAAGTTCCATCAGGAAACTGTCTTTCTTTCCCTTCCTTCCTTCCTTCCTTCCTTCCTTCCTTCCTTCCTTCCTTCCTTCCTTCCTTCCTTCCTTCCTTCCTTCCCTCCTTCCTTCTCTTTCTTTCTTTTTTTCTTTCCCTTTCTTCCCTCCCTCCCTCCCTTCCTTCCTTCTTTCTTTCTTTTCTTTCTTTCTAATGGAGTCTTGCTCTGTTGCCCAGGCTAGAATGCAGTGGCACAATCTCAGCTCACTGCAATCTCTGCCTCCCAGGTTCAAGTGATTCTCCTGACGCAGTCTCCCGGGTAGCTGCACTTATAGGCACGTGTCACTATGCCCAGCTAATTTCTGTATTTTTAGTAGAGATGGGGTTTCACCATCTTAGCCAGGCTGGTGTTGAACTCCTGACCTTGTGATTTTATTCACCCGCCTCGGCCTCCCAAAGTGCTGTGATTACAAGTGTGAGCCCAGCCTTGCTTGGACTTATTTCTAAATTGAGTACATTTAGATGAGAGAATGGGGTAAAGATGAGTGATCATTCATTCCTTAATTGCATCTCTCAGTCTCATTTAGGTCTTGGGAGAGGAAGATCACAGCCTGTCAGCCTAGGCAGTTTTATACCCCGACATAATCAGCTGGCATAGTAAGCACAACTTTGACGTATATGAACTCTGGCTGTCAGTTAGTCCTCAGAAGGTTGAAATATAGACTACACTCTTTGTCTTTGGTCATGATAAAGAAGTCTCACTAGTATACAAGTGATCAAAAAATGACCTTGAGAATGGCTGGAAATGCTGATTTGGTGCTTGGAAAGACTTAGCTAATGTGACTTTTCTTCCTTGCTTTCAATGTCTAATTCTCTGAACTCTAAAGCCAAAATGTTCATCCCCTCTCCCTGATCCTCTCCATCTTAAGTCAATTCCTGCTTTAGATGCTCATCATGTCTTGCCTGGATGATCACAGAGGTCCTTTTTTTTTTTTTTTTTTTTGACTTCAGAGCCTTGAGGTTCACCACTCTCCAATCCAGTCAAACAGTGATCTTGCACACATTCGAATTCATTAAATTATCCCATGCTCAGTGTTCTTCCATTGCCCTTGCTTAGCTGATGGAGTCTAAACTTGTTGAACATTATGCCAAAATTTTTTGGGATTTGCCTTAACTCTTTCTGTCTTGCTTCCTAGCACTTTCCTCTATCAATAGTCAACATTCATGGTTCTCCTCACATGACTTACTTTTCTATGTCTTTCTTTCTGTTAACTGACCCATCTGCCTTGAGTGTCCTCCTCCCTGTGAGCCCCCAAAATTCACACTCATAACTTTTTCTATCTCATCTCCAAATTTTTCCCTGATTCCTGCAGTTAGACATTCTACCTTTCTCCCATGTTCTTGCTACACTTTCAATAGCTTGTATATCAATTATTGTAATGTATTGTTTTATATATTTCTTTTTCCTAAATTTTAAGTTCCTTTACAACAGGAACTGTGTATTTTTCTTTTTGTGTCTTCAGTGCTTAGCACATTACCTGGCAGGTAATATTATTTCATAAATACATTTGAATGAATGATAGATATTTCTCTCCAAGTTGAAACAACTTTTAGAGTATCTCTGATTTGGGTTTCCCAAATTCTAGAGTAAACTAGAATTTGCTGCTGATCCTTCTGCTTATATTTCCCCTGACTGTTTTTCTGTTTCTTTGGAAGTGTGGGAGGGGAAAAACCGGGGACAGCATAAGAGGTGTAATCCTTCTTAGTAACTGATCCTCAATGACTTTTCCAGAGGGCACCAGGAGCCACATTTCAGGTTGGATTAGTGACCAACAATTCAAGTTATAACAATAAAGTGTGTTTTAATGTGTTATTCATCACCACACTCAGAGTGAGGGGGCCCTTTAGAGAGTCACACTCTGGCCTCTTCCATCTGCATTTGTTCCTATAAAGCAAGGGGCAGCCTGCTTGAATTCCAGGTTATCATGGAGCTATATTTGTCAGTGTAGGAGGATAGAATTTATTTTATTTGACAGTTTTTGACCTTGACTAAAATCTTACAGTGAGGCAATACTATGTGGAGCTTTGCTGCATGCTCTGCAAATTTTAGGGCCAGGCTCTTCCATAATCAGGACCTGTTCCCCTGAATTAAGGATAATGTTGGTGGCAGGTGAGAACACATAATGATGAAATGCAAATGAGCTCATCTTTTTGTATTTAGACTTGTCTTCAGTGCGTAGTTAACAGAAAAATTTTAAAAATCAGAGTAAGTATAAGTGATTTGGGTGCATGTTACATTGAGGGGTGATGGTTGGACAATAGAGCATGATGATGGAAGAGTCTTAGCCAGGGTTTATGGAGGTATCTCCTAGGTCAGATTCCACAGTAGCAAACACTGAGATGATGATATCTGTGGAAGGGATTTATTGAAGCTGTGTGCTCAGGAGGGACCTCTAAGAAAGTGAAGGAAGCAAAAAAGGGAAGGTGAAGAAAAGGAAGAATGTGGCTTCTGCTAGACTATAGCCTGATTCTCACCCTACTGGGAATGCTGGGGCACCAAAGAATTGCCCCACCTTGAGTGAAGGGGGCTGAATTTTATGCTTCATATCAGTCAGACATTGGCTGTGGGCTGTTCCCCATCCCCAGGAGAGGTTGCAACCACGCAGGCATTTCCAAGAGGCCCCTGTCAGTTTAGGGCAATTTTCCAGGGAATGGTGCAGCTGAGAGCTCTAGCAACCAAACTCAGAGCAGCTGTAGCATCCACTACAAGGAGGGCAGGAGAATGACTGGAATTGGCAATGTGAAGCAAGAAGAATGCCTACCTTACCTCCAAGTCTAGGGTCACGAAGGCCAAGGAAGAGAAAATGATCATCACTTTAGCAAGGAGAAACAGTCATCTGGGGAAAACTGGGTTTGGCAAGAAGGCTACCGCCAGAAGGAAAGGGAACATCACAGGAAAGATAGATATGTGATAGAATTTCCTCATGATGGATCATAACATCCAGAGGCTGAAGAGGAAGATGACTGAGTTACTAAAGATGCACAGCAGGCCAGGTGCAGTCACTCACACCTGGAATCCCAGCACTTTGGAAGGCCAAGGTGGGCAGATCACGAGGTCAGGAGTTCGAGACCATCCTGGCCAACATGGTGGAACCTCGACTCAATGAAAAATACAAAAATTAGCTGGGTGTAGTGGTAGGCACTTGTAATCCCAGCTACTTGGGAGGCTGAGGTAGGAGAATCACTTGAACTCGGGAGGGAGACTTTGCAGTGAGCCAAGATAGCACCACTGCATGCCTGCCTGGGTGACAGAGCAAGACTCCATCTTGAAAAAAATAAAATAAAATAAAGACACACAGCAGTGGAAGAGAGGGCAAAAAGACTGATTTGGAAAGTCTTGGGCATCCTATGGTGGCCAAGGTAATTACTTTATTCATTACTTACAATTCTATTAATTAAAATTTTATTTTTATGAACAGAGATGAAAAGAGCCAGAAAAAACCCAGAAATGTGGATCAAAGTCTAATCCATGAAGCTGAACATGATAATCTGCTGAAGAGTCTTGAGAAGAACCTGGAAATTCCACAGGATTGCACATATGCTGATCGAAAAGCAGTGGACACTGAGGTCAGCACTTACAATGAGACCATTCTCCAGACTGTTTCATTCATCAGCCATAACTTCTTAGTTGTAGACAACGTTTAATAAGATATATGCATAATGTATTACATAATTAATACAATCCCTAACAAAAGAGAAATCTCCTCTAGCTGCATATCACTCTTGAAGCCTCTGCAGAGCATATCTAAAAAGGACATAAGAGTCTCATCCAGGGTTTGTGAGTCTACTAGGTCCAATTCCCTAGGAGCACACACTGAGATGAGGATAACTCTGCAAGTGATTCAGGATTTGTAGATTATTTCTTGCTTGTTAACAGTTCACCTCTGAAAATGTCTGCCCTTTCACTATTTCTTTCTATTACATTGTCACCACAATCTAAATTCTAGACTTCAATTTCACATGCTTCATTTAAAGATTTGGGTGCTTGTGGCCCAATACACTTCAAATAATATTCACAGAATTTCTTAAAATCAGAAGCTTTTTAACATTATAGTTAAAACACCAAAGAGGCACTGGAATATCTAAAACTGGTAGGTAGAAACCTTTTAAAATGCAAATTACTCATGCTTATGGTGGACTAATTTGAAAATACAAATTAGTAATAATAAAAGCAATGTCATCACTCACAAGTACTCACTCTCCTTCCAGCCCAACCTTTCTTTTTCTTCTTTTTTTTCTAAGGAACCCCTTTAAGTCCACCAGACCAACCTTTCATCTCCTTTTCCTGTGACTATACACATACAAACTTACATACATTGTGTGTGTGTGTGTGCCCACGCACACACACATATTCATTCTAATGTGTACCTTGTTTTGTAAGCTTTGTGGTGTCTTATTTTTATAACCATGAATTTACACCATCATTTTAACGAATCCTTGATATTCTGTTGTACGAGTGAATGAAGTAACTACTAACCAGCCTTTGCTTTTGGAAGCTTTTTTGGTCCCTCTCTCTTCATAAACAGTATTTATATTTGTCTGTATAACTCTGGACACAACTGGATTTCCTCTTTAAGACCTGGATATTTTTAAGGCCATTTGTGCTCAATTTCACTGGGAAGTAGGCATTCCCAGACCACCTAGGGTAAGGAACCTACTCTGCCTTCTTGGAGAAGTCTGTCTGTTGGGGAAAACTCCTAAGGCTCCAATAGCCAAGTGACATCCCTCAGGCAAGAGTCATGCACTCACCACTGCTGGGTATTTTTATCTGCTACTTTGTCAAAATTTTCCACCCCAGAAGTGGAGTAAGACAGTTTAAGATAGTCTGTCCAAAGAAGTGGGAAGATTTTTCTTGTAGTTACTGTTGCTGCCATAAAGTGTTCTTTGTATTCATATAGAGTCAATTTCAAACAGTTGGCTCATTTAGTCAAGTTATTACATAGCATGCATGTCATTTTCATTTATACATTTTTATTATAATTAAAATTAAATCATAATCCCTAAATGTCTTGCTTTTTTTAGACTTTGCAGAAGGTATTTGATCGAGTAAAATATGCAAGAAAAGGTGAAGAATTGAAAGCCTTGGCAGAAAGGGGTATTGGATATCATCACAGTGCTATGAATTTCAAAGAAAAACAATTAGTTGAAATCCTCTTTAGGAAAGGATTTCTTAGGGTAGGTGAATTTTTTTATTCTAAAAAATGGAAATTATGACTATTTCAAGCTGAATGTTCATGGAAAAAGTAAAGAATACAACCACCATTTTCTTTTTTTCTCATTTAATTGTCTTTAAAAAAGTAAGTCACAGTATGACTGCATATCCTCTGTCTTATTTAATTGAAAGGGGGATTGAAGTGTGCCAGTCAGTTTATCTCTTTTTCATGAGAATAAAAACAAATCCTAAACAGATACTTTTCTAAATATTTCTACAATGAAATATATCTATGTTCTCTCTATCAGTGATAACTGACAAAGGGAGGACTAACTTAAATAACTTTCAAACTAAACCCTTGTTATGTTTTGTTTAGTGTGTCCCATGAGAGTGCATGAGGATTTTCTGGATAAATGCAAGAAGGGGCTTTATATAGTTTACCTGTAAATTTGGATCCTGAGTAATATTCACAAATAGACTGACTTTTAAAAATTATGAAATTTTGTATGACATATACTTCATTCATGAGAGAGAGAGAGAGAGAGAGAGAGAAAGACAAGTGATTGAGATTGTTTCTGCTACTCTAGGTACATCTTTTAATCTTAAATTAAACGTTGAGGAAAATCTGACACCACAGTTAACAATTCTATTGCCTGAAAAAAAAAATCCCAAGATGTAGCACTAACGACTTTGCTATGCTTTTCTCTTAACTAATAACAAATTGCGTATTTATTTTAAAGGCTGATAACCAGAAACAATATTTTCTACATGATTATGAATTGTCAGAAGAGAGACACACCTATTATTTTGATCAGCGTATTCTGTGTTTAAAGTAGTATCTGTTAAACAGTAGTTGCTCAATTACTAATAGGACAATGAATGAATAATGAGATCACTACAGAAAAGGTACTATGGTAGTGATAGCTTTGCCATGGAGAACATTTTTAAAAAGTATTTATTTTAGTTATTTTCTAAATGTATTATTATTTTCTAATTTTTGTTCTTATCAAAAAACTTTAGAAAAACAGGTAATAAATGGTGTGTTGCATTTTGACAAATATATAGATTTCAGTTACAAAATAAGTAGAGAAATTACTCCATATACTTAAACTTTAGTGCTAACCATGGCATCTATGACAATCAATATAAAAAGAAAGAGAAGATGATTAGAAATACCCAGCATTATATAAAAGGATTATCTAAGTAATTAATTTATTTACTTAGATTTAGTGGGAAAGCAACTTTTTTAAATTACTGAGGTGTGTTATTTCTATAGATATAATCTCAACAAATTTTAGTAGACAAAATAGGTAATTGTCTAGAAGTGGATTTGGAAAAGTATTATTTCCCTATCATAAAAAATTTCCTTTCTAGTTATTTATTTAAAAATATTTCCTGGGCTGGGCACAATGACTCATGCGTGTAATCCTAGCGCTTTGGGAGGCCGAGGCAGGTGGATCACCTGAGGTCGGGAGTTTGAGACAAACCTAGCCAACGTGGTGAAAACCCATCTTTACTAAAGACACAAAAGTTAGCTGGGCATAGTGTTGGAAGCCTATAATCCCAGCTACTTGGGAGGCTAAGGCAGGAGAATTGCCTGAACCTGGGAGGTGGAGGTTGCAGGTTGCAGTGAGCTGAGATGGTGCCACGCACCATTGCACTCCAGTTTGGGTGACAAGAGCAAAATTCCGTCTCAAAAAAAAAAAAAATTACTGAACTCGTATCAGTTGCCAGGTACTTTTATGGGTGCTGTAGATACAGTAATGGATCTTGTTTGGTGTCTAGTATAAGAGCAATGAACAGCCGGGTGCGATGGCTCACGCCTGTAGTCCCAGCACTTTGGGAGGCTGAGGCGGGTGGATCACGAGGTCAAGAGATCGAGACCATCCTGGTCAACATGGTGAAACCCCCGTCTCTACTAAAAATACAAAAAATTAGCTGGGCATAGTGGCACGTGCCTGTAATCCCGGCTACTTGGGAGGCTGAGGCAGGAGAATTGCCTGAACCCAGGAGGCAGAGGTTGCGGTCAGCCGAGATCGCGCCATTGCACTCCAGCCTGGGTAATGAGTAAAAATCCGTCTCAAAAAAAAGAAAAAAAAAAGAGCAGTGAACAAACAAGTAATGTTACTGAGGTAGTCATTAATGCTGTGAAGATAAATCATGTAAGACAGAGATAGATAATGATGGTAGGGGTGATTATTTTGGATGTGGTGGTCTACAAATTCCTCTGTGACATTTGGGCAGATGGCTGAAGAAGCCAGACAAATGAATATTTGGGGAAGAATATTCTATGCAAAGCAAACCGAACATTTGGGAATGTACTTGTGTTTGTGAAATAGCAAGAATACCAATGTGTCTCCTTTCTCTAGCTTTCCCATTGTGGCTTAATTGAAGCTCAAAGAGTTTTTCAGCAACTTTATGACAGGAAATACTTGCATTCTATTGAAATGCTATTTTATGAAGTAATTGTTTTATTCTCTTTCAAGGTGGTGACAGCTACTGGAACACTTGCTTTAGGTATCAACATGCCTTGTAGATCTGTGGTTTTTGCTCAAAACTCAGTCTATCTGGATGCTTTAAATTACAGACAGGTATGGCAATATGCATGAACTTGCTTATTGTATTGTTGAAATATGGCCATAGCATAGTAAAAATTGTGAACCTTTAGTTTACAAACATGCCCCAATTCACAGTCGCATCACTGGGCATTCATCCATGCCTGGCTATCAGTTTATAGCTGTGATATAGTTGAAAGCACCTGCATTTGGGATTGTGTGATTAGTCAGATGTGTGGCCTTGGATGAGGTATCTAAACTGCCTGATTCTCAGATTCTCACTTTCTATCTCCAAAATATGGGCAATAATTACTCTCCCATGGCATTTGCAAGAATTAAATAAGTGATTTGTAAGAAAGATAGACATTAGAGGTGCTTGATAAACATTTACTTACTCATTTGCTATGTGCAATATTTTGCACTCTAGAATTATCTTTTATGCTCTACTAAGCTTTACTTCTGACACTCAGTCTATTACCAAGCCCATGTCATTACTTTCCTATAGTGGTATTTAATTTTTTCCTGGCAATTTCTGTATCCACCATCTTTCTCAAATGTTCCAGGCCTTGCGTTATTAGTACAGTTTCCCCGACTCTCCATTCTCCTTATTCTACCATGTCCTGCAGATAGCACGGTTTATCTTCATATGACTTCCCTGCTCAGAGACATTTGATAACTATTTCTGCTAGCAGAATCAAATTTAGATATCTCACCCACATTCAGGTTTTTGTCAACGTGCTTCCCTCCCTTCATTTCTAAAAACTTTTTGTTCTCCTTTTCCGCCTTGTTTCTACCCAACATCCTCATATGATTTCCTACCATGTTACAACCCCCCTTTTTTTAAATTTCTACTGCTGTTGCCATACATACCTGAATGAATTCTTCTAGCTCATTTTTGGGAGTCTTCTACTTTGGGCTCTGGAGCTAGGGTGTTTGATATTTGGGATGATGGACTTGGGAACTGAAATGCCCGGATTTGAGTTCTGGATCTTCCGCTCTGTGGTTGTTTCAGTATGGGCACATTTCTTATATTCCCAATGCCTCAGCAGAGTCTAATCACTTAATAAAATCAGAGTTAATATAACCCCTGCAAAGAGTTTATTCTTAACTTGCCTTTTTTTTTTTACAAGCAGCATTTCTGAATTTTATTTCGCTCGTGTTTATTCTATTTGTGTACATATTTTATTTTGTGATTTGTAACTCAACACACTTCTGTAAGTGATTTTGACATCACTGTTTTGCCATTGCTCTTTGTTTCTTCAATAGATTATTTCTTGGATATATATTATACAAATGCCTACTGAAATTAATGGCATGAAGCAGGTACATGATGATGACAGGTGTGTCAGTTTTTAGATCTGTCTCAGTCATGGCAAATTTCCTAAGCACCATGTAGTTGCATGTTAGGGTTCGCTCCTTAATGGTTAAACATATGTACAATTTCCATGCTCCAAAGTAGAGTAAAGGCCTCATGCTTACAGTATGGCAGTAGAAGTATTTGGGGAGGTTTTACATTGTAATTCGATTCTCTTTCCAGATGTCTGGTCGTGCTGGAAGAAGAGGTCAAGACCTGATGGGAGATGTGTATTTCTTTAATATCCCATTCCCCAAAATAGGAAAACTCATAAAATCCAATGTTCCTGAGCTGAGAGGACAGTTCCCTCTCAGCATAACCCTGGTCCTGCGACTCATGCTGCTGGCTTCCAAGGGAGATGACCCAGAGGATGCCAAGGCAAAGGTACCATGCTGGACCCTGCCTGAGGTTCAGTCTTCATCGCTGGCCTGGCTGTAGTCAGGTCTGCTGCTCTTTTAGAAGTCTGTAGCAATAACCCTTGAGTTTTATCAGTCTTGATGTTTTTGTAATGTCTTGAAAAGTATAGAATTGGGGATAGCTAGGGAAAATAACATAAAGATGAAAATAATTTTTCTTTTTTTCCATCTTCTTATTTTAAGTTCTGAGGCACATGTGCAGGATGTGTAAGTTTGTTGTCTAAAGATGTGCCAGGGTGGTTTCCTGCACCTGTCAACCCATCACCAAGGTGTTAAGCCTAGCATGCATTAGCTATTTATCCTGATGCTCTCCCTCTCCCTTCCCCTACAGGCCCCTGTGTGTGTTATTCCCCTCCCTGTGTCCGTGTGTTCTCATAGTTCACCTCTTACATATAAGTGAGGATATGTGGTGTTCGGTTTTCTGTTTTGGCATTAGTTTGCTGAGGATGATGGCTTCCAACTCTGTCCATGCCCCAACAAGGGATATGATCTCATTCTTTTTTATGGCTGCATAGTATTGCATGGTGTATATGTACCATATTTTTAAAATCCAGTCTATTGTTGATGGGCATTTGGGGTGATTCCATGTCTTTGCTACTGTGAAGTGTTGCAGTGAACATATGCATACATATGTCTTTATAATTGAATGATTTATATTCCTTTGGCCATATAGTCAGTAATGGGATTGCTGGGTCAAATCGTATTTCTACCTCTAGATCTTTGAGGAATCTCCACACTGTTTTCCACAATGTAGTTGAACTGATTTCCACTCCCAGCACCAGTGTAAAAGCATTGCTATTTCTCTGCTACCTCACCAGTATCTGTTGTTTCTTCACTTTTTAATAATCGCCATTTGATTAGTGCGAGATGGTATCTCATTGCGATTTTGATTTGCATTTCTCTAATTAGCAGTGATCTTAAGTTATTTATTTATTTATTTATACTTTAAGTTCTGGGGCACATATGCGGATCGTGCAGGTTTGTTACATAAGTATACATGTGCCATGGTGGTTTGCCACCTCCATCCCTCCATCATCTACATTAGGTATTTCTCCTAATGTTATCCCTCCCCAATACCCTTACCTCCTGCTATCCCTCCCCCAGATCCCCTTCCACTGACAGTGTGTGGTGTTTCTCTCCCTGTGTCCATGTGTTCCCATTGTTCAACACCCGCCTAAGAGTGAGAACATACAGTGTTTGGTTTTCAATTCTTGTGTCAGTTTGCTGAGAATGATACTTTCCAGCTTCATCCGTGTCCCTGCAAAGGACATGAACTCATCCTTTTTTATGGCTGCATAGTATCCCATGGGATATATTACCACATTTTCTTTATCCAGCCTATCATTGAGAGGCATTTGGGTTGGTTCCAAGTCTTTGCTATTGTAAACAGTGCCTGACTGCTCTAAGTAATTTATAGTTTCAGTGTTATTCCCATTAAACTACTATTGACATTCTCCACAGAATTAGAAAAAACTATTTTAAAATTCATAGTGGAACCAAAAGAGAGCCTGTATAGACAAGACAATTCTAAGAAAAAAGAACAAAGCTGGAGGCATCACACTATCTGGCTTTTACCTTTAATACAAAGCTACAGTAACCAAAACAGCATGGTACAGGTACAAAAACAGACACATAGACCACCGGAAAACAATAGAGAACTCAGAAACAAGACTATACATCTACAACCATCTGATCATCAACAAACCTGACAAAAAGAAGCAATGGGGAAAGAATGCCCTATTGAATAAATGAGGATGGGAGAACTGGCTAGCCATAAGCAGAAAATTGAACTAGACCCTATTCTTAAACCTTATACAAAAATTAACTCAAGATAGATTGAAAACTTAAAGGTAAACCCAAAAACTATAAAAATTCTAGAAGATAACCCAGGCAAAACTATTCAGGACATAGGCACAGGCAAAGATTTCATGATTTATATGGCTTGGCTGTGTACTCACCCAAATTGCCTCTTGAATTGTAACTCCACAATTCCTCATGTCATGGAAGGGACCCAGTAGGAGGTAACTGAATCATGGGGGTGGATCTTGTCCATGAAGTTCTCATGATAGTGAATAAGTCTCATGAAATCTGATGGTTTAAAAAAGAGTAGATACCCTGCACAAACTCTCTCTCTCTCTCTCTCTCTCTCTCTCTCTCTTTCTCTCTCTCTCTGCCTGCCGCCATTCATTGTAAGCTGTGACTTACTCCTCCTTGAATTCTATCATGATTGTGAGGTTTCTCAAGCCATGTGGAGTTGTAAGTCCATTAAAATTCTTTCTTCTGTAAATTTCCCAGTATTGTTTATGTCTTTATCAGGAGTGTGAAAACACTAATACAGTAGTGATACCAGTACAGTGGGGCACTGGTGAAAAGATACCTAAAAATGTAAAAGTAACTTTAGAACTGGGTAACAGGCAGAAATTGGAACAGTTTGGTGGGCTCAGAAGAACATAGAAAATGTGGGAAAGTTTGGAACTCCCTAGAGACTTCTTGAATGGCTTTGACCAAAATGCTGATAGTGATATCGACAATAAAATCCAGGCTGAAGTGGTCTCAGATGGAGATGAGGAACTTCTTGGGAACAACAGCAAAGGTGACTTTTGTTATGTTTTAGCTGAAAGACTGGCAGCATTTTGCCTCTGCCTGAGAGATTTATGGAACTTTGAACTTAAGAAAAATGACTTAAGGTATCTGGCAGAAGAAATTCTTAAGCAGCAAAGCATTTAAGAGGTAACATAGGTGCTGTTGAAGGCATTCAGTTTTATAAGGGATGCAGAGTATCAAAGTTCAGAAAATTTGCAGCCTGACAATGCAATAGAAAAGAAAATCTGATTTTCTGAGGAGAAATTCAAGCTGGCTGCAGAAATTTGCTTAAGTAATAGGGATCCAAACAATCACCAAGACAGTGGAGAAAATGTCTTCAGGGCATGTCAGACATCTTTGTGGCAGCCCCTTTCATCACAGGCCCAGAGGTATAGGAGGAAAAAATGGTTTTGTGGTCCAGGCCCTGGGTCCTTCTGCTGTGTAAAGTCTAGGGATCTGGTTCCTTGCATCCTAGCTGATCCAGCTAAAAGGGACCAAAGTACAGCTCGGGCTGTTGCTTCAGAGGGTGGAAGCCCCAAGCCTTGGCAGCTTACATGTGATGTTGAGCCTGTGGGTGCACAGACATCAAGAATTGAGGTTTGGGAACCTCTGCCTAGATTTCAGAGGATGTATGGAAATGCCTGCATGTCCAGGGAGAAGTTTGCTGCAGGGATGGGATCCTTATGGACAACCTCTGCTAAGACAGTGCAAAGGAGAAATACGAAGTTGGTGACCCCACGTAGAGTCCCTGCTAGGGCACCACCTAGTGGAGCTGTGAGAAGAGGACTACCATCCTCCAGATCCCAGAATGGCAGATCCACCGACAGCTTGTGCCACGTGCCTGGAAAAGTCACAGACACTCAACACCATCCCATGAAGGCAGCCAGGAAGGGCACTACACTCTGCAAAGCCACAGGAATGGAGTGGCCCAAGGCCATGGGAGCCCACCTCTTGCATCAGCATGACCTGGATGTGAGACATGGAGTCAAAGGAGATCATTTTGGAGCTTTAAGATTTGACTTCACTGATGGATTCTGCATGGGGCCTGTAGTCCCTTGGATTTGGCCAATTTCTCCCATTTGGAATGACTGTATGTATCAATGCCTGTACCCTCATTGTGTCTAGGAAGTTACTAACTTCCCTTTGATTATACTGGCTCATAGGTAAAAAGGACTTGCCTTGTTTCAGATGACACCTTGGACTGTGGAGTTTTAAGTTAGTGCTGAAATGAGTTAAGACTTTGAAAAGGCATGATTGGTTTTGAAATGTTAGGATATGAGATTTGGGAGGGACCAGGGGTGCAATTATATGATTTGGCGGTGTCCTCACCCAAATCACATTTTAAATTATAACTCCCACAATTCCCATGTGTTGTGGAATGAAACTGGTGGGAGGTAATTAAATTATGGGGGTGAGTAAAATGCTTATGATTTTTGTACATTGATTTTGTATCCTGATATTTTGCTGAAGTTGCTTATCAGCTTAAGAAGCTTTTGGGTTGAGATATTGGAGTTTTCTAGATATAGGGTCATGTCATCTGCAAACAAGACAATTTTTTTACTTTGTCTCTTCCTCTTTCAATATCATTTATTTCTTTCTCTTGACTGATTGACCTAGCCAGAAGTGTCACACTATGTTGAATAGGTGTGGTGAGAGAGGGCATACAAATATTTTATCAAAATATCTTTTTTGTTTTTTGCTGCATACAGAAAGCAGTTTTCATAGATCAGATCTTTTCTTTAGAGGAAAAGATGTCCTTTGTCACAGTCTATGAGGTTCTGTAGAATCTGATCTCTTGTCAGATCATAGACTCACTTCTTCCTGTCTCTCCCATGGCCTGCTACCTGTTCCATGAATACTCCAGGCATATTCTAGTCTGAATGCTCCTGCTGTTTCTTCTGCTTGTGGGTTTTTCTATTTTATCATTTTGGATGCATCTATCCAAATCTGATGGCTTGCTAAGCAATAGGATATATGAAATTTCTTCTGGCTTCACTCTATCCATCTAAATGCTAATAGAATACCTTTTTAAATCTGAGCTGGATGAACAGTGTTTGGCCCAAACATCAGTGTTTAGCAGATGTACATCTATGTAGTTTCTGGGCTGAAATGTCATGTTCTACTTTTGCTGTTCTCACTCACACATTGATATATGGATGACATTAATCACAATAAACTACAGTATGCAATGCCATTAGGATTCTTACTATCTTAGTATGACTTTACATATAAGGTCTGTATCTCTGTGGTTATAGTGAACCACCATGAAACCCTCACTATTTACTACTCTGCTGTTTTCTGACTACTGCCATCTTGGACTCAATGTGGCATGTGCGAGAGAAGAGGTTTAAAAAAAAGGCCATATGTGGTGCCCTCAAACAGTATTATCTCACAGTAAGGAGATGGAAAGTGCACTCCCTTCTTCCACCCTTCCTCTTTCTCCTTTTCTCCCTCCTTCCCTTTCTCCCTTTTCCCTTCTTCTTCCCTTCTCTTCTTCTTTCCATCTCTCCTTTCCTACTTCCTTCCTTCATCCCTCCCTCCCACCACCCTCCCTCTCCCTCTCTCCTTCCTTCCTTTCTTCCTTCCTTCCTTCCTTCCCTTCCTCCCTCCCTCCCTCTTTCCTTCCCTTCTTCCTTCCTTCCTTCCTTCCTTCCTTCCTTCCCTTCCTCCCTCCCTCCCTCTTTCCTTCCCTCCTTCCTTCCTTCCTTCCTTCCTTCCTTCCTCCCTCCCTCCCTCCCTCCCTTTCTCTCTCCTTCCTTCCTTCCTTCCTTCCTCCCTCCCTCCCTCCCTCCCTTTCTCTCTCCCTTCCTTCCTTCCTTCCTTCCTTCCTTCCTTCCTTCCTTCCTCCCTCCCTCCCTTTCTCTCTCCTTCCTTCCTTCCTTCCTTCCTCCCTCCCTCCCTCCCTTTCTCTCTCCCTTCCTTCCTTCCTTCCTTCCTTCCTCCCTCCCTCCCTCCCTCCCTCCCTCCCTCCCTTTCTCTCTCCTTCCTTCCTTCCTTCCTCCCTCCCTCCCTCCCTCCCTCCCTCCCTCCCTCCCTCCCTTTCTCTCTCCTTCCTTCCTTCCTTCCTTCCCTTCCTCCCTCCCTCTTTCCTTCCTTCCTTCCTTCCTTCCTTCCTTCCTTCCTTCCTTCCTTCCCTTCCTCCCTCCCTCCCTTTCTCTCTCCTTCCCTCCTTCCTTCCTTCCTTCCTTCCTCCCTCCCTCCCTCCCTCCCTCCCTCCCTCCCTCCCTCCCTCCCTTTCTCTCTCCTTCCTTCCTCCCTCCCTCCCTCCCTCCCTCCCTCCCTTTCTCTCTCCTTCCTTCCTTCCTTCCTTCCTTCCCTTCCTCCCTCCCTCTTTCCTTCCTTCCTTCCTTCCCTTCCTCCCTCCCTCCCTTTCTCTCTCCTTCCCTCCTTCCTTCCTTCCTTCCTTCCTCCCTCCCTCCCTCCCTCCCTCCCTTTCTCTCTCCTTCCTTCCTTCCTTCCCTCCCTCCCTCCCTCCCTCCCTCCCTCCCTCCCTTTCTCTCTCCTTCCTTCCTTCCTTCCCTTCCTCCCTCCCTCCCTCTTTCCTTCCTTCCTTCCTTCCTTCCTTCCTTCCTTCCTTCCCTTCCTCCCTCCCTCCCTCCCTTTCTCTCTCCTTCCCTCCTTCCTTCCTTCCTTCCTTCCTTCCTCCCTCCCTCCCTCCCTCTCTCCCTCCCTCCCTTTCTCTCTCCCTCCTTCCTTCCTTCCTTCCCTCCCTCCTTCCTTCCTTCCTTCCTTCCTTCCCTTCCTCCCTCCCTCCCTTTCTCTCTCCTTCCCTCCTTCCTTCCTTCCTCCCTCCCTCCCTCCCTTTCTCTCTCCTTCCTTCCTTCCTTCCTTCCCTCCCTCCCTCCCTCCCTCCTTCCTTCCTTCCTTCCTTCCTTCCTTCCTTCCTTCCTTCCCTCCCTCCCTCCTTCCTTCCCTCCTTCCTCCCTCCCTCCCTCCTTCCTTCCCTCCCTCCCTCCCTCCCTCCCTCCCTCCCTCCCTCCCTCCTTCCTTCCTTCCTTCCTTCCTTCCTTCCTTCCTTCCTTCCTCCTAGTCCACTAGTCTTATAATAAGTAGAGACTCTTTTTAGGTTCTATAACCCTCAGGCTTAAAGACAGCTCAGTTTCAGTTTTGGCAATGCTGGGATTTTTTTTCTTTTAATTTCATAGACATTTTAGTGAAAGCTGAAACATGCAGTTTTACACTGGAAAACAGGCAATATTTTTATATCATTGGTTGAAATCAACCTGGTTACTTATTTTTGCAACAATACTGCAGAACATGGGATAACGTATCTTTTTTCTTCTAGAACAATTTAAAAGCTATAAGCTCTAAAACTGGAAAGCTTTTATAATCAGACTGTTTGGCAGTATTGTCATTTCTGACAATTCTGTGTGTGTGCTCTATTTTGTCAAAGAAAGGATTTGCCATGTAACATTATAAAACAAATACATCAAATTTTACCTGACACATTTATAATATCTGTGTGGTATAAGAGACATTGATCTTTCCTTTATTATCATTTTCAAATATATTTCATAACACTTAATGTTGTGTGTCTAAAAATACTGTTCTTTAAAGGTGCTGTCAGTGCTAAAGCATTCATTGCTGTCCTTCAAGCAACCCAGAGCCGTGGACATGTTAAAGCTTTACTTCTTGTTTTCTTTGCAGTTCCTGGTGAAAGAGGTATGTATTAACTACACTTTTTTTGTGTAGGGAAATATCATTGCTACTATCGAGATTTCTTACCATGCTGAACTAATTGTAGCTTTTAGAAGGTTCTATCCAATGACTGATATTACTTATAAATGGTATAATTAATAAAGTTGGGCCAAGTAAAAGTTACAAATATTTCTTATAATGGCATTAAATACTATTTTAAACTGGTACTTAATAAGTTACTCATTCATTATGTGGTGAGTTGACTCAAACTAATAAATTGTTTTTTTGTTCTTTAGGGCTATTTAGATCAAGAAGGTAATCCTATGGGGTTTGCTGGACTTGTATCACATTTGCATTATCATGAACCTTCTAATCTTGTTTTTGTCAGTT